TTGGACAAGACCCTGTTCCTGGGAAAGACTGAAGATGGGAGAAGAAGGGGACAACAGAGGATGGGATGGTTGGATGGCATCACCGACTCAATGGACATGAGTTTGAGTAAACTCCGGGATTTGGTGAAGGACAGGGAGGCCTGGTGTGCTGCAGTCTATGGAGTTGGAAAGAGTCAGACACATTGAGCCACTGAACTGAACTGAACTGATCTCTCTGTCCGTCTCAGAAGACAGCTTCCCCTCACAGGGCACATGGTTTTCCACAGAGATCCTCGAGGCTGTGGGCTGGGGTTTCAGAGCCCGCATATCTATCTATCTGTCATCATCAATCTATCTCTCTGTACATTTCAGGAGAGAGCACCCTTCCACAGGGCACACAGGTTTCCACAAGATCCTCGAGGCTGTGGGCTGGGGTTTCAGAGCACGCATATCTATCTATCTGTCATCATCAATCTATCTCTCTGTACATTTCAGGAGAGAGCACCCTTCCACAGGGCACACAGGTTTCCACAAGATCCTCGAGGCTGTATGCTGGGGTTTCAGAGCCAGGCAGTAGACGCAGCGCAGGGGGAGTGACCTGCCTTCCAGACCATGTGTCCACCAGCTGTGTGACCTTGGCAAAAAGCTTCCTCCTCCTAAGCATCACTTTCCTAACATGTAGATAGGGCTGGTAGCCCCTGCCTGTCCTCCTCTTAAGTGGTGTCACGAGGATAAGATTTAGTAAACGCCCTGGACACATGAGAAGAACAGTGCTTGTACTGGTCCCCAAATCACGCAGGGCTGCAACCCTAGACAGGTCAAGGGCACAGATCCCTGTGAGAGTCGGCTGGAAGGAAGGAAAATCCACAAAGGAGACACAGGCAAAGACACAGGGGTGTAGCAGAGGCCTCCCAGCCACAACAACGAAAGAATCTATAAAGTCCCCAGGGCTGACCACACCTGAGTCACAGATAAAATGGAGTTTCAAATGCTGCGAGTTGTGGACTCCTAGGACCCCATGCCCTCAGCCCTTCAGGCCCAGCCTGGCCCCAGCTGCGCCTCTTGAGAAATCTCTCATTAGACCAGTGTTCAGGAGGGGATGTTGGGAAGCGTGGACACCTCACTGGCTCATTTGCCTGCTTCACAGGTAGTCCAAACAGGATGTGTATTAAAGCACATGGCATCACAGTACCAAACCACAACATGCCCATCAGGGCATTCTCATTTAAAAAAAAATATGCTAACAAAGCAGGCATGAAATGGTGGCAGAAAAAGCATGTTCTTTCTATAAAAGCTCAGGGCACAGAATCAGACAGGCTTAGTCTGAAACCTATTTTTGAGATTTTCCAGCTATGGGATCTTGGGCAAGTGAGTTAACCTCTCTGTGACTCATTCTAAAATAATAACAAAGTATTAAATATAATAACTTAACATAATAATAATTCAATAATTTCTATAACAATAGAAATAACACTTGTACCTACTTCAAGTTGTTATAAGAATTTGTGCTGATGACAATTTAAAAAAACATTTATCAAGCATTTACTGGGTGTCAGCCATTATGCCAAGTAAGAAGCTGCATAACTCTGTAAGAAGAGACACAGACTGGGTAGAGACAGGTATGAATCCTGGTTCCAAAACCAACAGATCGTGTGACCTTGAGCAAGCTGCTTAAGCTCAACCGGCCTCTTTTCCTTCTCTGTAGAAGGAACACAGTAACCTCAAGGGTTAGGTGTTGGGATTAAATGATGTAATCTATGTAAAGCACTCAGACCAGCACTCTAAGCACTATGACCAGTACAGTTATCCCCAGAAGGGTTGGTTGTTATCAGTTACTCAGAGCCTGACAGGCAGCCAGCCCTCAATAAACAGACCACCAGGGGAAGGATGACGCTTCTGCTCAGGCTAGAGGCAGGGCTCCAGGCGCCCAGCTGGGAGCTGACATGAAGACAACGCTCGCCCTCTGGTGGGCACAGAAGGAGGAGAACAAGACAACACAGTCCTCCCAGAGTCTGTTTCCCAGCGGGCATCCTCTCAAGACCCAGATACCAGAAGTGTTGCGTTTAAGTGAACGCAACTTTCACATTATTGTTTTTTATTTTGTGTCATTCCTTTTTATTTTGCATTATTATTTTTCAGAAATTCCATGATTTCGAAATTTCTAATGCAAAGCGATGGCCAGATGCTGCCAGGGTTCCTCGTGCTTTCCCCAGGGCTTCCAGTCACCCACTTACCCACCCACCCTCCCGACGGAAGAAGAGCTTAATGGCCAAAGTAGGCTGTTAATTGTGAAAGCGCGCTCCAAATTCTCCCTAAACTTCACTTACATCACATACAGATTATCTGCACCCACCTCCCAAGAAACAACAATAAGTAAAAAACCCTCTCTATCAGGACCAAACTCTGAGCGTCAGCATGTCCCAAGGTCAGCTCAGTGGGGCCCCGACCACTGAACTCTTCGTTCCAACACACCTGTGCCGAGAGCCTGTGACTCGATGCACCAGGGTTGAGGCAGATGAGACAGAAGGAGACAAAGTTTATATCCCAGCAGGAAACAGAAAACAAACAAAAGTAAAAGATCATAAAATGTGCTTTGCAGAGCATTTTAACAGGTAATAAAGTAATACAGCAGAAGAGGTAATACACCCATTTGACTGGGCGGTGGGGGAAGAAGGGCCTTAGGAGAAAGTGACATTTTTACTGAACAGAAAGACGAGAAATAAGCAGACATGTAAAAAAATCAGGAGGAAGAGCGTGTAGGCAGAGGAATGAAGAGATACTCTGTGTGGCCAGAGAGAAGTGAAGCAGGGTAGAAGAGGAGGCAGTAAGGGATGGGGCGAGCACGGGGCTGGGAGGGTCTAACAGGTCTGTGTTAGGAGATTATATTTTATTCTGCGTGAAATGGGAAGCCAGAAGTGAAGTGAAGTGAAATTCACTCAGTCGTGTCCGACTCTTTGCGACTCCATGGACTGTATAGTCCATGGAATTCTCTAGGCCAGAATACTAGAGTGGGTAGCCTTTCCCTTCTCTAGGGGATCTTCCCAACCCAGGGATCAAACCCAGGTCTCCTGGATTGCAGGCAGATTCTCTACCAGTCAAGGGAAGCCAGAGGAGTGCTTTAAACCAAAGAGTAACAAGATATAACTTACATTTTAAAGAAATGTAAATGGAGGGGGTAGGTCAAAAATAGCAGTGAGGGGCAAACCAGTGACAAGGCTCCTGGATCTACTTGTTTTCCCACTTTTTAAACTGAAGTACAGTTGATTTACAAAGTTATGTTAGCTTTAGTTGTACAGGAAAGTGATTCAGTTATACATATTTATGTGTATATGTCTATACTCTTTTTTTCAATTCTTTCTCATTATACCTGCCAAGCTCCTCTGTCCATGGGATCTCCCAGGCAAGAATACTGGAGTGGGTTGCCATTTCCTTCTCCATAGGATATTCCCGACCCAGGGATCAAACCCAGGTCTCCCACATTGCAGGTGGATTCTTTACCATCTGAGCCACCACGGAAGCCCTATAGTTTATCACAAGATATTGAATATAGTTCCCTGCACTATGTAGCAAAATCTTGTCATTTATCTATTTTATAGTTTTGTGTATCTGTTAATCCCATACTCCCAATTTATCCCTTCCCCTACCTTCCACTTCCATGTTTGTTTTCTATATCTGTGAGTCTATTTCTGTTTTGTAAATAGGTTCGTTTGTAGTACTTTTTAGATTCCACATATAAGTGATATCATATAACACTTGTCTGCCTTACTTCACTTATATGATAATCTCCAGGTTGGACCTACTTTATTTTTATTTATTCAGTTTTTGGCTGTGTCCTGTGCCATGTGGGATCTCAGTTCCCCATCAGGGATCAATACCCATGTTCCCTGCATTGGAAGTGCAGAGTCTTAACCACTGGACCGCCAGGGAAGTTCCTGGATCTACTTTAAATGAAGTATTTACAAGACTCGCCCACGGGTGAGATGGGCATAAGCACATAGTGAGAAGAGGGGGATCTGGGTTTGCCCCATTGCACTGACATGAGGAAGATAGGGAGAGGAGCAGGAGCCGGTCTGGGCATGGAAATCCAGAATTCCCTATTGGACACGGCATGTGTGAGATGCCACGTGGTGACAATGAAGGGGTAGTGGGGCAGCCAAGACTGAAAAGGATGGAGACACAGGCAGGGGAGATCTCAAAGGCGGGCAGGTGGGGCTACGGGATCAGAGAAGGGAGCCCTCCTGAGGCGGAGTTGGGGTACTGCAACCTTGAAGTCAGGCTCGCCGGGAGGAGCCTGCAGGAGTGAGGGAGTCGGAAAAACTAGGACAAGGAGGGCCCCAGAAACTGGAAGAAACGGGTGGCTGAATGAGTTGAATCTCAACTAGGACAGAAATTATCCCAGGATTTAGCAACAGGGAGGTCACTGTAGCCTCGACAGGAACATCTTAGTCGGGTATGGGGCATGAAGTGGATGTCTTACCACCTTTTTCAGTCTTTTCTCCAGCCCTCCTCCTCCTGAGGGCCCACGAACAGGCCAGAACCCCGGGAGTCACCCCATACCCTCACTGCTCTACCCACGGACTCCACTGAAGCTCTGCGTCTCCATCAGCTCTGACCCTGGTTCACGCCGCACCAGCTCTTTCCTGGACTTGCAGCTGTCCCTCACTGACCCCCTTATCTCTAGGCTCCTCGCTCCAATCTGCCCCCAACACGGCCTGAGTGATGGCTCTAAAATGCATGTCTGACCCTGAGTCTCTAGTCCTGAAGTCTCCTGGACTCCCATTATCCTCAGGATCATGGTCAGCTTCTCACCCTTGTCTCTTCGCCACCTTTTCATCTTCCCAGCTCCACTTCATCTGACCACCTCCTCCCTACCAAGGCCTTCAAAAGCTCTTTCCTCTTTTTTTACATGCTTTCCTGATCCATTCTGCCCCTCCTTCAGCTAAAGTGTCACCTCTTCAAGAAGCCTCCCATGACTACCCCCCACCCTTCTGGGCACCCGGCTGTGGCTCACGGCCACTTACCTGCTGCACCGGTTCAATGGTCAGCTCCATGTAGCGACTGATGGCTGCCATCCTCTTGAGCGGCTTGCAGTGTGGGAGTGTGGTGAGCGGCACCCAATCCGAGTTCTTTCAAAAGGAGACAGGAAGACAAAAAGGAAGGAGATACTTTCTAAAAACAGGATTCCATTTTCTTCAAAAGAATCCCTTAAGTATTTTTTCTGTTCTTTTATGGCACAGCTCAATTTCTACTTCCTATAAGACGTATCCTCTTTGATGTTACAGAAGGTGGGTGGGTCCAAAACTCTGCTGCACAGTGGAACTACCTGGGCTTCTTAAAAAACAGCTAATGTTTAGCTTTTAACCCCAAACATTCTGATTTAACCAGTGTAGAAGTGACCTGGAGAGTTTAAAAGCTCCCCAGATAATTATAAGGTTTGGCAAAGCTGGGAGACCACTTAAGTGGGTGCTAAACAAATGCTTTTAGAAGAAGTGGTTCTCGAACTTGACTGTGCATCAGAAGCACCAAGAGGACTTATTAAAACACCTTGAGCTGTGTTTTGGTAGAGCTTGGTGGACCCTAGAACTTGCATTTCTAACAAGTTCTTGGGCGATGCTAGTCCAAGGACCACACTTTGAGAACCAGAGCTGTAAAGACTGCTGAAGAGATGGTGGAGGCTCTACTTACTCTCTTCAGAACACTAAACACATGAGGCTCTCTTGAAATATTTTAGTGCCCTTTTGGAATATAATTTCATAAGAGATTCTAGAATGGAATGAAAATAACATCCCATTAGAGCCTTCCTGGGAACTTGGATCTTTGGTCCAAGAACCTATATCACCCCTTTTAGCTTGGCCATACCTACACACTATCTCCTATTTCATTCATTCAGTCAGATTATGCCATTAAACCTAGAACATTTGGAGGAGTGGACCCGGCTCACTCACAGGGAGTCTCATTTCCACTCTGAAAGAAATGAGAATAGTGAGGAGTCTACATAGGAGACTAGATTTTTTTTTTTCCTGAAAAAATTATCTTAGAAAAGAGGGAGCTGTTTATGTTCAAGTCTTTATAAGCTTTCTTATTATCATGAGGTACTTGCTCAATTATTTTCAGCCAAGGACTTCTGACAAAGACAAACTCCCTCAGTTAGCATAGTTCTCCTTACTTACAGGAGTCACCTGATTAAATCAGTAAAGACAGAGGCAGACACATTTACAGATATGACATAATTGTAAATGGTGGATCTTATTGTAAACAACACTTTAAAAATCAGCTTTTTAGCAACATCATCTTTTTAAAAAGTTGTGTTATTGGTGGTGATGCTGTGCATGTCAAATGCATGCAAAAGTAGGAACATAAGTTTTTACTAAGTGAGGGCAAAAAACACATTACTTCTAAATTCAAGTATTAATTTATATAGTAATTGAACTTCAATATATGTGTAGATTACCAAATAGCATAAGTGGACATTTGACTGTTTTATCTACATTGCTAAAAAGTGTTCAAGTTTATATAGCGATTAAAAAAAAACTTTAAAAATATTTTGTATTTGGAAAAACAGAGGATCCTGTTTTCTCAGGGCACTCAGCATTGGGCATAACAGTAGTTCTTTAGAGTAACTGACTGGCCCACGCCAGAGGGACCCCCGGATTCCCAGGCTGGGCCCTGGCAAGGCTCTCCACCTCTGCCCACGCTGGGCGCAGACACCGGTTGGCCCCGTCAACCTTGCCTCGGTCATTGCCTCCTGGTTTTCTTCCTCCTTCTCTGCACAGGTCAGAAGGGCTTGGGTGTCGGGGTTCTCTCCTGCTTCAGAGGCAAATCCGAAGACCTGCCTCATCTTGCTCTTCATCACGCAGGAAAGGAAAATGATCTGAGAAGTGGGAGTTAAGGCTCAAGGAGGCGGAGAACTTCAGGTGCCTGATGCTGCCTTCACCTTGGCACCCCGAGGGCTCCGCCCTGGAGTGACGTCCCCACTCCCCAGAACCATCCTGCCAGGGTAGGCCCCAGAACAGACACGAGACCGTCTGCGGACAGAGCCGGGCCCAATTCTCTCTGTCCCCCCAGGGCCCACCACCCAGCCAGGTGCTCTAGCAAGCGCTTGGTGAATACTTGTTAAATCAAAGGACTGTGAAAACCATCTTCCTCGGCTGAGGAAGGATGGTACACCTAGTGGGTTGAAAAGCGTCCTCTCCAGATTCATATCCACCCAGAACCTCAGAACGTGACTTTATTTGGAGACAGGGTCTTTGCTGATATCAAGAATTAGTTAAGATGAGGTTGGCAGTGGACTAGGGTGGCTAAGGTAAGCCCCAGAATAGGAACTTTCGAGGAAAAGAAGACAGGCAGAGATACACAAAAGGAAAAGGGCCATGTGAAGATAGAGGCAGAAGTGGGAATTATGCTGCCAGGAACCAAGGCACCCCAAGAGCCCACCTGACGCCGGAAAAGCAGGGCAATACTCTCTCTTGGAACCTCTGGAGAGAGTGTGGCCCCGTCTGGACTTGGGGCTTCTGGTCTCCAGAGCTGAGAGAATAAATTCCTTTGGCTTCGGCCATCGAGTTTGTGGTGATGTGTTACGGCAACCCTGGGGGACTCAAACAGCAGGTGAGAAATCGTTTTCGAAACTGTTTCTGCTAAATCCACAGGGTTTTTTCACACACTCCCTCGCCAGCAGGGGTGTTATCCACTGTCAGCATCTCCACCCGCCACTGTCTGAGCTTAGTGCGCCCTTGAGGCCCTCTCACCAAGGTCACTGGGCCATCAGCACATTGGGCACCATCCACCCCAGGCTCCAGCATCAAACAGGACAGAAAGCGCAGGATCAGCTGTGCAGGCCAGGTCGGCTGGCAAAGCCCTCCCCAGCCCCTGAGAAAGACAAGGCGAAGGCAAGAAAACAGGTTCACAGAGGGTGGGGCCGACGCAGCGGGGAACAGCATGGAGACAGGAGCCGGCTCTTCTCTGAGCTCAGGGCCAAGAAGTTCACATTCCCTCTGCGGTCTCACAGAGCTCCAGTCAAGAGATATTTCTTATTATTAAAAAAAAAGGAAAAAAATACAGAATTGCACGCTGCAATTGTGTCTGCCTGCCCTAGGCTTCAAACCACCACCCTGGCCACTGAGAAAGAATTCCTTCTACCAAGAGGGTAGGGGGGCGTGGCGGGGCAGAGGGGAGAAGAGACACAGAACACCCGGGGACCCGGGGTGGATACAGACAGGTCCAGCGCCGCGCGGCCGAGCGAGGTCAGGAACCAGGGCGTGGCCCGCAGCAGGTACTCAGGCCGCCGGTCATGGGCCACGATGGCCGAGGCGTAGAGGAGACCGGCCAGGGCTGACAGGAACCGGGTCCACAGGTGGATGGAGGGAAATGTCTTACCCCGGCACTGGGCAGAGAGAGGAAGGGGCTGGGCTGGGAGGAGCACTCCACCTCGCCCAGCTCCCTTCAGTTGATTCTAAGACCCAGGGCCCTTGATGTGAGACGTTGGAGGGCAAGCCGTCTGGCCAATGCCAGCCCCCAAAGGTGTTGTTTCCATTGGGCTTCAAGCTGCTTCCAGGAACTCCCTGGCAGTCTGGTGGACCGCACGCTTTCACTGCAGGGGACACAGGTTCAATCCCTGGTCAAGGACCTAGGATTCCGCAAACCATGAGCCAAGGCCAAAAAAAAAAAAGTTGCCCCCTTTGTCTGGTGAACTCCTATTCATCCCTCAGAACCTGGCTTAAAATCAACTCTGGGAAATCATTCCTTACCGCCTCCACCCTAAGGGGAGCAAGTAATGCCCTCCTCTGGGTCCCTCACACCTGACATATCCCCCTACTGGAGTGCCTCTCACCCTGCTCATGACTTAGCTGCTTACACATCTGTCTGCCCAACAGAAAGAGAGCTCCTCAGAGCAGGGCTGAGGGCCTCACCATCTCGGTGCCCTGGCACCCGGCACTGGGCAGGGGTCTGTGAATTTCAGGGGGGCAAGCATGAGGAAGATAGAGTTATGGAGAGCCAAGCCCTGACCCTTCTTTTCCTGGGGCCACCAACTCTGAACCAGGCCAGATGGGAAAGTCAGGGAAATTAGAGATAACATTCTGGTAATGTTGAAGCCAAGGGGGTATTTTTGGAGAATGAGTAATGAATATTGTTTTTTTAAAAAGGAAACATATGTAATATCTATATGTAAGTACCATTTACAGGTATAAAGTCACTTTCTATACACATTAAGTATATAAACATACATGTATTTCCAATTTATGCAATTACATAGGTATTTAAATTAACACAGAATACACACACATGTATATGTATACATATATGTGTGTTTATATATATATATACATATATATATACACATAAACTTAGTTTGTTCATTAGATGACTGTATTTGGAGACATGTAGGTCTTGGCTAAGGAATGGACAAAATGTAAGAGAAAAAGCATGTTCTGGCTGATTTTCCCATTTTAGTTTTAATCCTCAAAAAGACTGAATTCCCAGTGGATGGAACTCTGTGTTTTCACTGCCAGGGGCCTGGGTTCAATCTCTGGTCAGGGAATTAGGCTCTCACAAGCCCTGCAGAGCAGCCAAGGAAAAGGAAATAAAGATTCCTCAGGAGTGTTACGTCTCCCTCTGCATCTCTTCTGACTTTGTCCCCAGGCCTCCCTGTTTCTGGCTCGCTACCTGCTGGTGGCTCAGTGTAAAGAATCCACCTGTCAGTGCAGGAGACGCAGGAGATGTGGGTTCGATTCCTGGGTCAGGAAGATCCCCTGGAGATGGAAATGGCAACTCATTCCAGTATTCTTGCCTGGGAAACCTCATAGACAGAGGATCCTGGCGGGCTACAGTCTATGGGGTCGCAAAGAGTCAGACAGGACTTAACGACTAAACAACCACAACAACACCCCTAAACAGACAGCACCTAGCTGGGGAGGGTGACCCCTGACCCGCTGGCCCCAGAGGCTGCAGGTGGAGTGACACCCCTTCCCTTGAGCCTTCCTACCTCACACAACGCAGGCAGCACCACTACAGCAAGAAACCTCTGGGGTCCTCCAGTACTCCCACCCCATTTTACAGGGGACACTGATGGCCAGAGGGGAGGTGACTTGCAGAGAGGGGCTCAGCTGGGGGAGCCCTCTGCTATCACTCCAGTGCCAACCCACGCCCAGCACCGTCTGACACAACACTCAAGCTCTTGTCAGAGTCGGTACTAGGGATCTAGAGGGCTAGAGGGCTCTGTTTGCCTGTGGCGCTGGGCACACAGCAGGTGCCTCAAGCATCGCTGCTCGAAGACTGGAACTGGCTTGGGGACTCAAGATGTGGCAGGAGCTTCTCCAGCACACTCGGGCCTGCCTAACCGTTCAGGACTGACGGTTGAGGGGACAACCCACCCGGTGGTTGCCTGGCAAATCTGTGCTGGGGGCTCGAGTGGGCCATGCCTCGGCCGCTCCTGCAGCAGCAACGATTCCCCTTGTTAGCACAGTGCTCTACTGGTCGGAGCATGTTTCAAATCCCTTGTCCCGTTCAAGGACTTGCCCCTGGAAAAATGGGATCTTCTCCCACCAAAGCTACCCAGCCAGACTGCTGCTCAGCGACCCCACCAGGGGTAAGTTAGAAGCAGCTTCTGGGGGATCCAGGGTCTGAGGCCATGCTGGCTCAGCTTCCCATTGCACCCCAATCCTGCTGGCTTTCTTCCTAATGAGGGAACCCTAGCTCTGGGCTTTTGTTCACTGGACCAGACACACTCAGGGCTGGCAGGCCCTCCAAGATTACCCAGCTCAGTCCCAATGAAATCTCCTTCTATCTTCCTGCCAAGGGGTCATCTGGCTTGAATGCCTCTGGTGATGAGGAGCTCACTACTTACTAAAGCAGGAATAATAATACCGATTGCCCTCAACATGCCAGCCACTGTGCAAAGTGTCTAACCCATGGAGTCTTCTTCTCACTGAATGGGAAGTGGCCCTCCCAGTAACCTCTTGGTTATTGATTCTGGTCTTGGTTCTAATCACTGAGACCGCAGAGAACAAGGCTACTCTTTCTGCCTCAAGACAGCCCTCCATTTCCTGTATCCATGAACTCCCTATTTTCTAGGCCAGATACAGTCGCTAAGTAAGAAGTGTTGGGCAGACCCCAAACATCTGGCACACAGCGAGAAGTAAAACAGAAAGGGCCACTGCTCTCATGGTGCCGACCCTCTGCTGGGGAACCAGGCAGCCACTCAGCAAATAGCTAAAGGAGCTAATTTCAGGCTGTGATAAATGCGATCAAGAAAATGAAGCAGAGGGAGGGACCGAGAGGTGGGGCCGGCCTGGGGTATTTTAGGGGGGCTGGTGTTATGGGTTGGATTGAGTTTCCCCAAAAAGACATTGGAGTCCAACTCCCAGAGCTAGTAAATGTATTATTTAGAAGTAGGGTCTTTGTAGATGATCAAGTTAAGCTGAGGTTGTTAGGATGAGTCCTAATCCAAGATGACTATGTCCTTATGACAAGGGGAAAGTCAGATACAGGAACGTATGGAGAAAAGCCCACGTGAAGACTACATGCATTTGTGTGTACGTGCACACACGCGTGCACGTGCGCACACACACACACATAGAACACCACACAAATCCTGGAGTTGTGCTGCCACCAGTCAGGGAACTAGCAGAAGCTCGTAGAAGGGCCTGGAATAGATCCCTCTCTAGGGCCTTCAGAGGGAGCATGGCCCTGACACTTTGGGGTCAGGCCTCTGGCCCCTGAGACTTAAAGACAATACGTTTCTGTTGTTCCCAGTCTGTGACACTTTGTTACGGCAGGCGAAGGAAACTTTTATAATACAGGTGGCCAGGGCACCACAGCAGTTCCTTCAAAGGTTGTCATGTGACACAGCTTCCCAGCCCCCACACTACCCTGGAGACCCCTCCCAGTGGGGCTGAACTGAGCACAGTGCTCCCCATGCTCACCTCCATTGATCTGGGGATCACACCTTTGCTGAGGAGGCCCGGTGCCCTGGGAGGTTTCAGGCTGCAGCTCTCAGAGCGCTCAACTAAGACCCCGACATCCCCAAATCCTGTTCTCCTGTAACTGCTGTTAAATCACAGCACTGAGACTTCCCTGGCGGTCCAGTGGCTAAGACTCTGCACTCTCAGTGCAGCGGGCCCCAGTTCAATCCCTGGTCAGGGAACGAGATCCCACATGCTGCAACTAACAGTTTGCATGCCACAACTAAAGATCCTACGCGCAGCAAAAAAGATCGAAGATCCTGAGTGCTGCAGTTAAAACCTGGCCCAGCAGAATAAATTAATATAAAGAAAACACAGTGCTCTTGGGCAAGTGACCATTTCAAGACTAAAGGATGGGCTGGCACATTTCTGGGGTCGCGTAATATGTGGCTCTCTTGCAGGTGCCCTCGTGCCTTGGTGGCCTTTCCTGCGCTCTCCTCTGCCCCTATGCCTCCCCTCACCTCTGCTTCCTCGGGCCCCACCCTGCCTTCCTGCCGACCCGGGCACCCCTGGCACCCAGTGGTGTCAACAGTCTGCACCCTCATTCATTTGCGCAACGCAAAGGTTTCTCTCCCTCTTTTCCAAAGCCCTAAATATTTGATTGTCTTTCTTAAAGCATTCGAACACCTTGTTTTCCATTTCTGTGTCTTCTTGAGACTGAGCTTGCCAAGGGCAAGCAGTGCATCTCAAGTCATGTCTGTTTCCCCCAGGGGAGTGGCCAACACAGGGCTTCCTTTACCCCAGACACCGGGAAAATACCTGCCAACAAGACACACTCGAATATAAAGAGCCCTGGAGCTGAACAATCCTATCTTCTAAAACCTCAGACCTTTTCATTCCTTAATAGGATGCTTGTTCATCCAAACCCAGGGCTCCTTCCTGAGAGCCTGCTTCTCATTTGCTACAAGAAATGGAGTGAGCACAGAGCCCACCTGCTGTGAGCCTCAGGATCCCCGGAGCCTGGGGCCAGCTGTCCTCTGGCCTGCACACACATATACACACACAAACGCCCCCCACCACATACATATAGACACGGCTGTGCACACGGGGACATCACCTCTCCACTCCAGTGACCTGGAACTGGGAGGATGGTCCCAGATGCCCTAAGACCTACAGGGGTGACCCACGGCCCCAGCCCCAGGCTCACGATTCTGGAGAGTGGGCGGATCCGGGAAACCCAGGCGCCCAAGGCCGCGATGCCACCCAGCAGGAAGCCGAGGATTTCCGTATTGTCCTGTGGGAACAGTGATGCACTCAGCACCCTGGGGAGACGCTCAGGCACCCTAGGCCCGCCTTTTCCTGCTTTAAGGTGGTTCTTCCCAGCAAAGCGTAAGCCTGAACCCCACCCCCCGGATACTAGTTGGGACTGTGTGGAGGGGAGGGACCCACATTCCCCGACATCATACCCCCATCCCCCAGCCCGAGCAGGCCTGGCCTCACCTGCACCAGGATGCCCAGCAGCCTCCGCTGCGGCCCTCGGTCACGGCCTGAAGCCCTCGGGACAGCGGCACACAGAGCCCAGCCCGGGCCCAGGCTCAGTGGCAAGACCAGGGCAAACACGCTGGCCCGGAGCTGCCGCCTCCTCTTCCTCTCCCGGGAGCCCCGACCTGCGCCAGACACCAAGATCCTGCTCAGCTGCCAGGATCTGGAACCCGACAGCCGTGTGGGAAGAACTGGTGTTGACCCCAGCCACGAGGCCAGGACGGGCTCCCACACTGTTCCACAAGCCAGACCTTGCCCACTCTTGAAGGGCCTGTGGTCGTGCCCTCTCATTCCCCCCATCCCCCATGCCTGGTGCTCCTCCCCTTCCCCAGCCTTTCATGTCTTTTTATGTTTCAAAGCAGGTCAGCGTTATCCTTTATCACATACATCTGCTGTTCATCCTAGACTGGAGCCCGCCAAGGGCAGGCACTGTGCCCAGGCAGCTCTAGAATCTGCGCAGAGCCCGGCACTGAGTGGAACCTGCACAAGCCTGGTGAATGCACCACGATGGGGTGGAGTGGTGCCAAGGCATCAAAACTGGGGTGGGGGCAGGAGAAGCATCGTCTTTGAAAGTCTCCTTGAAATAGAAGGCAGATCATCTGCTGAACAATTCCAAAAAGTGCACTCCTCCTCTGGGCAGCATTGAGCCCAAGGAAATCTTACATTACGCCCTGGTGCAAGCACTTCCTTTTAAGACAAGGGTCCGAGCGTGTTGCTGCCCCTTGTCAGGAATGTCTGGTCCTACATACACCCAGCCTACCCGTCCCATCTCAGTCACCTCCAACCTCTGCTCTGCCTGAGGCTGGGACGTGCACACTGGGTATCACTGTCTGTCCCCTACGCCCTGCCCCCTCCTTCTTCCTGACCTCTTCCCAGGCTGCTCTTTCATCTGGAAAGCCCTTTCCTGCGGTCCCAGTTCCAGCGTCACCTTCTCCCGACACTGCAGGCCCTCCCCTCCTCTGCAGCCCACTGTGTGCACACACCCTCACTAGCAGCACTAACTGCCTCTTAGCACCCTGACTCCCTGCTCTGGCTGAGGCCAGGGAGCTCGCCCATTCATCTGTGCCTGGCAGGGGCCCAGCTAGGGCACGACAGGGAGAGGTGCTGATGAATGAGATGAGTGGACGATGAAGTCAGGAACAGGTAGCAGCACACTCACCCGAACTGGACTTGAATTTGGAACCACAGACTGGGAAGAGAACGGACACAAAGGTCACCAGGTCGGCAGCTGCCAGGTAGGCACCAGTGAAGACCTGCGAGCAAAGGAAAGGTCTTGGTGTTCAAACCTCTTTCAACAACTGTAGTACCTCTCGTTCTGGATCTCCTCCACCACATATGTTCCACCGAAATAGGGTTTCCAGGGATGCCTCCAACTCCATCAAGGTTGGTTATCACCTCCATTTGAGGAAATGGGGTTTTGCTTAAGTGACCAAAGCCATTATGAAAATGTTCATCATAGAGATAGGACAAGATCCCAGCCCGCCACACTTTCCATTGTACGGCGAAGTCTTGTTGTGCAACTTTGGCCCAGCCACTGACCTTCCCGGGGCCTCTGTTTCCTCATCTGTAAAGCAGGGATAATAACAGCACCTCTTTCAGTGTGAAGTAGATGATATGAGCTGACACATGGAAAGCTGCTTAGGCCAGTGACTGGAGGAGGGTAAGATGCACCTACGGAAACTTGCAGTAGCTACTGACAGTACAGTTGACACTTGAACAGCTCAGGGGTTGGGGTGCTGACTTCTTTGCAGTGGAAATTCTGAGTGTCACTTTACAGTAGATCCTCTATATCTGGTGTTCTGCATCCATAGATTCAACGACCCATGGATCATGGGGTGCCATAGTGTGTATTATTTGAAGAGAATCCATGTATAAGTGAATGCACACAGTTCAAACCCATGTTGTTCAAGGGTCCACTGTATTTAGTGCTTAAAGCATGTGTTCTGGGGTTTGAATCCTCACACTGTTACTTGTAAGAGAATGACTTTAGCAGGGTTATTGAACCTCTCTACACCTCTCCACACCTCTTTTACACCTCATGGGTAAAACAGGGATGATGCGAGCACTCATAATTTAAGGATTAAGTGAGTTAATATATGAAAAGCCCTTACTATTTAATAAACATCAGCTATTATTATCGGACTCGAGTTGAACTTCATTATCATCTATCAGCTAGTGAGAATTGCCTCCAAAATGAAAGGTGATTTGTTTCTGATGGAATGCTGCTGACAGCAGGCTCTAGAACTCTCCAAATCTGTGTCGGACCACCAGGCCACCCTCCTTCACATCTCCCTGGGTGGCATAAGGCCAGGACCAGCCCCCTTAAGTGGGGCCCAAAGGTCCTTCTTCCTTGGGATATATGTTTCAAGACAGGCTTTCAAGACAGGCCCCTTTCTACACAGATTTGTTTAAGGGCCCAGACTTTGGAAAAACTCAAAATGTTTCTCACTTGCTCCAAAGCCCACATCACCACCTGAGAAAGGATTCAGATACCCCTGAATGAGTGGGGACAGTGCCTGGGCTCTAAAAAACGGTAACAGCAAACATCCTTTTTTTTTTTTTTTTTTAATTGGACATCTACTATGTGTCAGCTCCTATTTTAAGTGCTGGATCGGCACTGAATAAAAGTTGTTGCCCTTATGAAGCTGACATTCTAGTAAGGGTTAACATGCAATAAAGAATCAGTTCAGTTCAGTTCAGTAGCTCAGTCGTGTCCAACTCATTGCGACCCCATGGATGGCAGCACGCCAGGCCTCCCTGTCCATCACCAATTCCTGGAGTAGACATAATGGATAAAGTAAAGCAGATGGTATATTAAGGGGGAAATGAGCAGGATGAGGGGTCTGGAGCAGATGTGGGAGAGGTAAGGCACAATTTTAAACAGATGGTCAGGAGGTCTTATTGAGAGATTTTTGAGCAAAGACTTGAAGGAGGTGACCAGTGAGCTGCATGTTTATTGGAGGAGCAGAAAGACCAGCAGGGGCACAGGCCCTAGAGCAAAGCTGCTTCGCGTGGGAAAGGAACAAACTAGAAACCACTGTCACCTGTGGTCCCAACCCACCTGGATGGTGAGCTGTTTGGCCAGAATCGCCCCGATGGTGTCACACAAGCTGGTCAGGAGGCAGCACGCAGCCCACAGCACTGACTGGTCCCGTCCAGATTTCCTCCCACATCTCAGATACAGAAGCCTGAGGGGACAGACAGGGGTGTGGACAGAATACAGAGATGTAAGGTTGGGCTCCCAGAGCAGGGGTCTGAAAAAGGCAGCTGTGACTTTGTGTCCTTACGAATCACTTTCTTCCCCAGATATTCAGCAGGTGTTTTTGACCTTAGTTTAGAGATGCAAAAAGTAAATGATGGAAAGGACTCTAGCCTCTGACCAACAAGCCCACAGCAAGAGCCAGGCCTCACAAAAGGAGTTTTCTTCCCCCTACCAATCTGGCAGCCTCAAATTTACGACCCACCTCTCAGCACTGACAAACGAGCTGTCAGCTTTTGTTTTTTTGAAAGGAAACAGGAGAGTTATAAAAGTAATCCAATCATTGCAGTTTCACTGCAGAGCAGAGTTAATTGCCTAAATGAAAAAGGCAACTTGTTTCTTTGCAATTAACATGAAATCCTTCTAATCCATCTGTGCAGTGAGGTGGCTCTGTTTCTGCCAGCCATATCTGAGTTGATTTCATTTTGGGTGCACGGTCTTCACACACAGGGGGAAGACTCCTCAAAGATGCCATGGCACTTTGGGTTGACCTCCCTCTACGGTCCCCCACTGCTGGCTTCTCTCCCTTACTGTTCACTTTCTACCCCCACATTCGCCCAGGAATAAGTGCAGGAAGGCAGAACAAGCTGGAAGGGGCCAAATATCTCTTTGTCAGCATCATTAGTCAGATCTTGGAAATACTTTGTACAAGATGTTTCCCTGCCAACATTTTTACAGGTTTTACAGGGAGACTGAGGTACAGTTGCGGCTCTGGTTTCATTTCCTTTAATCATTGGGTAGGACTCACTCCACATCATTAGGACCGTTTGGCCAGTTCTGAGCATCAGCCCTTGGGACCATTCTATGAGGACAGAAGGCTACTGGGCTCCCAAACATTCCTGACCTACATGATGAAGCCCAAAGCTCCCAGTGGGAATGTCAACTCTTAATTTTGAGTCCTGAAACTGTCTGAAGGCCCAAGAGTGAAGACTCTACATCAGAGACTCTCCGAGTTGGACACAAGTTAGAAATAATTCATTTCAACCCTCCCATTTGAGAGAAGAGAAAACTGAGGCCTATGGTGAAAGGTGAGTTAATGGCAGGCCTTCTACTTCACTTGTGGAGCTCCTGCATGTGCCCTGCTGCTCTTCAGCCACTTCTCCAGCTCTCAGGGGTCAGGGACCCCGTGCAGGCCCTGATCCAGCCCCTACACAGCTGAGACAAGGTGAAAAGGCAGAGGCTCTGCTCTTGGGCCAGCCAGTGGGCATTTTCACAGAAGCTCCGTAAACTCTCCAAACTTAGTTCGTGGAGGGTAAGGTGTCTGATAACACCCATCTCAGAGGGTGGCGGTGAGGAACATGTGAGATAATGCAGATAAACTGCCTCCTTAGTTCCCATCCTCTGATCTGGATAGTCCCCTCACAAGCCTGCCCCTTCCAGTAGGTCCTGCCTGGGGTTTCGGTTCTCCCCATTCACTCAGGCAAGTTAGTTAACTTGTCAGAACCTCAGGCTTCCTCATCTAAACAGAGTCAATGACAGTCCCGGCCTCTCGGGGTGGTGGCAGGGATTGGTGAGTTAATGATGGCAGGACTAGGCGCTCAGCAAATGTTCCAAGTGTCTTCTTATTCATGGCCTGCAGACTCTCTCCAGCAACATCAGACTTGAGGTGAACACGATTGAGTGGTGAAGGTGAGCAGGTGTCAGCCTCCCTGGGGGATCCCCCCCCCCCCCCCCACCTAGGGAATACATGGCAGGGTACCATCCTCCAGAGCTTGGAACAGGGTGGCAGAAGACCTAGAGACCATCTTAAGTCAGACATCACCCTTAGAACCCAGGTTATGGTGATCACTCGGCCATACCACTTCAGGTGTTGGACAGACCAGGGCAAAGTGTGTGGCCAGGGTTAGATAATTACCTCTCCCCTTCTCAGCTAGGAGGGCCGTGGGTAAACTGAGGCCAGAAACACTGAGAGACAGGCCCATGTCCTCTGCCAAGGGTGGATGGCAGTGCGGGAGCAATAATAATGCTGTTTAATGAGCACTTAGGAAGAGCTCTATGAGTACTAACTCATTGGATCCTCCCAGCCGGTCCTATGTGCTAACATTCCCATTTACGTGAGGAAAAGTGAGCCCCAGGGACTTTACAGCTCGCCCAGCTCACAGTCAGTCAGTGGGGGAAAGGCTGACAAGAGAACCCAGGACTGGCGGCTTCCAGCCCACGGTCCCGTCCACCATACCACCCAGCCTTCTGTGGGCTCCCTGCCCAGCCTCCTCGTTCCTGGAATCCGGAAAGAAGTATCTGATTTCAGTCTACAGCAAATGTTCCTTTCGACCCTGGAATTGTCCTGCCTCTTGCATCCTCCCTTTCTGCCCTCCTCCTTCTAGGTTCCCAAGAGCGAGTCAGCAGGGCCAGCGCCCCGTTCCCCCCGCGGCCGCCCGGGGCCCCATTACAGCACGTGAACGGCGATCCAGCAGGAAGAGGCGCAGATCCACAGGCCGAAGGAGATGCAGACACGGTGGCGGGCGAAGCAGCGGTCCAGGTAGTCCCAGTCCCAGAGCGCGGGCGCCGGTGCGGGGCTGGGCGCCTCCCCCATGGCTGGCTCCATTCCGCCCAGTCCGGTGCCTGCGCCTCCGCGTGGCCAGGAACCCGCGTGCAGCCTCCCTTGCTGCCCGCGGCCCCGGCGCTGCCGGCCCGCACGCCCCCTTCTGCGTTCGGTTCCGCCGCACCGGGCCGGTCCGATTACACCGTCCGCCGGCCGGAGATGGGCGCGCCCAGCTCCGCGCTCCCGGGGGCGGGCGGCGGCGGTCAGGACTCCAGGGAAAAGTTTCCGGAACCGTGCTGCTCCCCACCACTCCTGCTATTGTCGGGGGTCTGCGGGCCGGAGGCCGCCCCCAAGCGGCGGGAGCCCGGAGCAGCCTCAGCACAAAGGCTGCGCTCCCTGCCCGCCAGACAGCGGCGGCGCGGCTCCGCGGACCCCTTCGCTGTCACCCATCCCCCAAACCCGAGGCCAGAGCGGAATACAGTGACCTGCCAGCCCAGTGGGAGGCACCTTCATTACCCCACATTTCCTGAGCCAAACAATACTTACTTGGCTCCTGGCGAGCCGCCTGGACTCTGGTGATCCCAAGAGGTGTGAGATCGTTAAAACGGCACTATACAAAGGGTGCGGTGGGAGGCCAGCAAAGAGAAATCGCACGCGCTCCCTGGCATCCTCTCTCACCCTCTTTTCTGAGGCTGTAGCTGCAGCCTGCGTCCCCACCATTTGCCCAAGCGGGGCTCTAGAAGTGAAGTCCTCCTGGGCAGCGACCCCCGCAGTCAGGGAGCCCCCTGATTTTTGCAATCTGTCCCCTCCCATTCAGACACATGGCCAACTCAAGTACATAGGACTATTTTTCTTGAAAATAAACTATAATAATTAAAAATTTTCCTTGGTGATTTTAATAACTTAAAGAAAGACTTGACTGTATCATTTCTTTTTTTTTAATTTTTAAAGATAGCTCTATGGAGATCCCATTCATATACCATAGGAAATTCACCCTTTTAAAGTGTACTAGTCAGTGGTTTTTAACATATCCACCGAGTTGCTGCAGCCACCATCATTATCTAATTTTAGAACATTTTCATTACATGGCAAAAAACCTAGTACCCACTAGCAGTTAGTTACACTCCATCCCCCTCAAGCACTCCCAGCCCTAGACAGCTTCTGTCTCTATGGATTTGTCTATGCTGGACATTCCTTATAAATGGAATCATCCAATATATAACCTTTTAGTGACTGACTTCTTTCACTTAGCATCATGTTTTTAAGGTTCATCCACATTGTGGCATATATCAGTGTGTTATTTCTTTGTTATTTATTTGACTGCACCGGGTCTTGGTTGTGGTACTCAGGAGCTTCCATCTTCATTGAGGCATGCAGGGATTTAGTTCTCTGACAGGGATTGAAGTGGGGTCCCCTACATTGGGAGTTTGGAGTCTTAGGGCCTGGACTACCAGAGAAGTCCCCATTTCTTTTCATTAAAAAATAATCCACTGTATGGATGTACCACATTTTATTTATCTTTCCATCATTTGATGGACAATTGAGTTGTTTCCACTTTTTGGACATTATGAATAATGCTATTATGAACATTTGTGTACAAGCTTTTGTGTGGCTATAGGTTTTCAGTCTCCTGGGCATATACCTGGGTGTGAAATTCCTGGGTCCCATGGTGACTCTGTTTCAAGTTTTGAGGAACTACTGGACTGTTTACCAAAGTGGCTGTGCTATTTCACTGGTTCATTCATCTTTAAAAGTTATGATCACTCACAGGAGAAATGAACAGTGTCGGTCTTTGTGCTAAGAGCTGGGGACACACTGTTGAGAAAAACAGACATGGTTCCTACCTATCTTTACAGTTCAGTAGAAGAGAAAGATATTAAATAGGCAATTGAGCAAATGGAGATTAAATTAAAATATTAAACAAAAGGGGCCAAAATTCAAATAGTAAAATGATTAAGACGAAGTGATATAAAATTAATGCCAACTAAAACAGTTAGTTCAGTGGTAAAGAATTCACCTGTGAATGAAGGAAATGCAGGTTTGATCCCTGGGTCGGGAAGATTGCCTGGAGGAGGAAATGACAACCCACTCCAGTATTCTTGCCTGGAGAATCCCATGGACAGAGGAGCATGGCAGGCTACTGTCCATGAGGTTGCAAAGTTGAATACAACTGAGCACACATACACGCAAGACAAGATTAGAGGGATAAATTAAAAGGGAAAATATATGTAACCCAAGTTTCTCATAGTCTATAAACAATAAATACTCATAGTCTAATCTCTGTCTTCTGGTTTTGTTTTTGTCTTCTGGGTTTTTGTGGGTTCTTCCGGTGTTTTCCTCTGTGCTTACAAATGGTCGTCTCTGCCTTGATCTAATCACCCGTGAGTACTGACTGGTGGCCACCTAGATCCTGGGTTCCTCTGGTGCCTACAGCTCCCAGAGGCAGGTCTATCCCAAAATAATCTATCCCACTAGTTGTCTTGCTAAGGTGAGGACTGTCCACGCAGTCTGGTGTCACCCTTTTACCAGGCCCAAGATCACCTTATACTATCAGTTTTGTTTAGACCTGAAATTACCACTGTTTAACTTGATTCAGTCTTTATTATGGTTTCCTTCTCCCTCAGCATCAGCATAAATCCTGGGGAGATGGACCTAATTTGAAAGTTGTTGCAGGGAATTCCCTGGCAGTCCAGTGGTTAGCACTTAAGGGTTTAAGTCCTACAGCTGTCCGGCCTGAGCAGTTGAGGCGGTGTGGCCCACAGATTGTCAGTATCAGAATCGCTCTGGTTGCCCTTCAAAAAGCAGACCTACTAAATCCAGCTCCCTGGGCGTATGTCCTTGGAATCCACATGGATTAGTGTCCCGGGTCCGCTGAAACAAATCATCACAAATCTCGTGGTTTAAAGCAACAAAAATGCATTCCCACACAGTCCTGGAGGCCCAGAGTCTGCAATCAGTGTCACAGGACTAAAATCAAGGTGTTTCCTGGGCTGCCTGCTCTACTCCCTAGTGGCATCTGGCATCTGGTGCCTGCCCTACTCCCTGGGACTTTAATGGAGAAGCTCTTTCTTGTCCCCCCTCTTCCAGCATCTGGTGGCTGCGAACACTCCCTGCCTTGCGGCTGCATCACTCTTATCAGTCTCTACCTCCTGTCTCCCTGTCTGTATTGCCTTTTCCTCGTCTGTTTAATCTCCCTCTGCCTCTCTCTTATAAAGACATTGTGTTTGCAGCCTCCTCAAATAATCCACAATAATCTCCCTGTCTCAAGATCCTTAACTAAATCATTCCTGCAAAGACCCTTTCTTCATACAAGGTAACATTTACAGGCTCCAAGGATCGGGACTTGATATCTTTGGGGGCCATTATCCAGCCAACTGCACTGTTTTATGCAAGCTTCCTGGGAGATGCTTATGAGAAACTGGGTTATGAGATGGCCCTTGCTTGGGGTGGAGAAACTGTGGGGAGCTGTTTCCAGTCACTGGATATCTGGGGACATCGGACGATGCAGTAGAAATGTGTGGGTTTTGGATAATATTGGACTGGAATTCACATTCTGCCTCCTTGCAGCTATGACTGGGTAAAGCACTGATCCTTTCTGCACAGGAGTATTCTTACCTGTAAACTGATAACAAGAGTACCTACCATAGAGTTACTGTGATTATTAGAGATCCTGCAGATAAAGCATCTGGCACATGCCAACTGTGGCAATTATTACTGTTATTGTCTTTCCCAGGAAGAGCCTCAGATCTACTTAAAAACAAATGTGGTTTAGGGACTTCCCTGGTGATTCAGTAGCTGGAGCTCTGTGTTCTGGTCTGGGAAATAGGTCCCACGTGCCGCAACTAAAGATCCCTTGCACCGCAACTAAGACCCAACGCAGCTAAGTACATACATACGTATATATTATATATAAATGTGGTTCAATAAAAATGTGAAAAGGAACGTCAGCTAATGGAGACACAGCTCAGTTCTTTTCTACCATGTGCCAGGAGCATCTGTCTTCTGCCCCTGGGTCTCCAGAATTATCCACAGCTCAGAACTCCCAAACTTCAGTCTCACATAGCAACTGCCTATGTGACATGTCTTGCATGTCTTAATTGAGCACATCTACAACGAAACTGGATGATTTTCCTTTCCAAACCTGCTCCACCAGGATGGTATTCCCTCACAGGTGATTGGGCGTCTTGGTCCTGAGGGGTCCAGTGCCTGCTCTACTCCTCTGTTAGGGACTTTCAAGCATGCTAAGTGTTGTCTTTCTACCAGGCTGTGAGCGCCCTGCCGTGGTTGAGTTCGTATCTGTCTCCGCAACTCGGTGCTTGGCACATGGTAAGGAAAATACATATGGAATGAAAATATTGACTTTTAAACAGGCCAGAGAGTGATATGTACTTAGGAACATACTGGAAATGCTCTAACAATACCTAGTATTGTGTGTGTGAGTACACTGGGGAAGGCTTTCAAGAAACGCATGAGCTGAGCTTTGAGATCAGGTGCTCCTGCTGGCAGGAAGGGCTGGCCTGTTGGGCACAGGCGGCAGCAGAGATGCTGCAGCAGGTAGAGCCGGGTGAGAGGGGCAGTTGGTCCAATCCCAAGGGAGCCAGGACTCCGTCTTGTAGGGATGATGAATTCTAACCAACTCCCTCCCTCCCAAATTCTTTCAGTACCTTCCATGGGGCTCTCCACCTGATCCACCCTCAGGAAGCGACTCAGTTCCTTTACAGGGCTCCTCCCAGGCCATGTCTTCTGGCCATGGTCCAGTTTGACGAAAAGGAAAACTTAACAAGGGAATCGTAACACACGTCCTCCCCACACAGCTCGTAAGCACATCCTGTTGGCAGAGGCACTGCAGCTACTGGCATTGTCCTAAAGAAGGAAGGGCTGCAGCAGGCTGACCACTCTTGCAGGAGCGGGCAGCCAATGGGCCATAAATCCCAACTGCCTGTGAAGGGGGGTGGGGTTGGGGTGGGGGCGGGTAGGTGGCTGTGGGCAGGTGAGCAGTTCAACAGCTTTTCTCTTCTGAGGACACACTGTCTCCTGTCAGTGTTCTTATAAAATGCATTATATAGAGAAAGAGCTTGTGGCTACTCCTCAAACAATAACATATAATGCATTAAAAAAAAAAGTATATCTATCTACTTGGCTACCCCAGGTCTTAGTTGCAGCACACAAGACCTTTGATCTTTGTTGCAGCATGCAGGGTCTTAGTTTTGAGGCATGTGGGATCTAGTTCCCTGATCAGGGATCTAACCTAGGCCTCCAGCATTGGGAGTGTGGAGTCTTAGTCACTGCATCACTCAGGAAATCTCTAAAGAATGCATTTTGAAATACTGGCCATTCCAAATCTTAAACAGTCCCATTGTGGACAAATTGGGAGTCGAGATTGAAGCAAGTGATAGGATTGTTAGGGTCCTGAGTTCTATTTAGAACTTTGTCATCAACACACTGTACAATCTTGTTTTTAATAAAACACTTAAAAATTTTATTTAGGGACTACTGTGTGAGCACTTTATGCTAACATAATGCCTTAAAAAAAAAAAAAGGAATAAACTATTTTGTTGTTGTTGTTTTGGCCATGCCAAGCATCATGTGAGATGTTGCCCCACAAAGGATAGAACTCAGGGCCCCTGCGGTGGAATAGGAGTCTTAACCACAGAATCAGGTTAAGTCTTTGATTTTAAATTGCTCAAAATGGTTGTTGTTAACTTTTTTGTAACTGGAGACTTTTTTGAAAGCACTTTCCTTCCTGTATGGCCTCTCACCCTCAACTAGTACACAGTACATTGAACACAGACAACAAATGGCTCCTAAGGGTGGAAATTTGAAGCAGTTTCACTTCTCCACAAAGACTGAAGAGGGGAAAGGGCTAACAGAACAAGGTAGCACTTGGATCTCTGGCCTGCTATCAGGTTTCTCCTGTTCACCCACAAAGGAAACATTGCTATTGGCTTCTTGACAAAACTTTACTTCCTTCTAATTTCCTGAAAGTAAATAGATGGCAGATGTAGAGCAGGTTCTGCTTTAAAAGAATGGTATGTCCCCTGTAATAAAATATTGGAAAAAATTAAAAACAATAAAGTGATAATGACTGCTTTTCGAAAATCTCAAAATACTAATCTCTACAAGCGTGGGCATACTATTTAAAAATTTCAAGTCAGCTTAGGAAGACATACTCCAGGCAGAAGCAAAAGTGAAAACAGAAATTCCCCTTCAGGATGTCCCAGTTTGGGTTCCTCAGACTCTAAGCAAAGACTAAGGTTCAGTTAGTTTATTTGGGAGGCAAATCCATGAAGCAAAAGCGAGGAAGCAAAGTCAGACAGCATATGGAGAAGAGCAAGGAAAGCTGGGTCAACAAGATTGTTTAACCATGAGCAAATAGGGCTCCGTTCCACCAAGGATCTTGTGATAAACATAGAATGCTGCGTGACAGGAACCCGGGGTACTTACCAGCCAGCCCCCACTCCTTACTGGTTGGGGGTTACCCTGTGGAGGTTCAACCTCCTGCACTTCCAAGCTGCCCTTTGTGAGGGCTGAGCAAGCTTCTGGGGTGCAGGAAAAGTCCTCCTGTGGGAAAGCAGGGAACACAGGGCTTGTGGCAAGCTATCAGCCTGTACAGGAGCTGGGCTGTGGGTAGGTGGATGCCATGATGCCAAGGGATGTGGAGTGTGTGTGTGTGTGTGTGTGTGTGGGGTGGTGGTGGCAAGGGGGCATCTGCAGAGACATCCATCTCTTACAAGCTGTACTTGCTAGAAAACTGGTTCTGATACTATTGACAGTTGACACTCACGATACTATTGACACTCACGAACGTTTGACTTCTCAAAGGTACATCTCTAGAAATGCTCTCACATTTATGCTTGATTTTCCACAAAGGTGCCCAAACAACTAAATGCGAGAAGGCTAACCTTTTCAACAAATGGTGCTGGGTCTACTGGATATGCACATGTGAAAGAATTAAGCTGATCCACTTCCTGACTCACACTACCTATAAAAGTTAACTCTGGTCCAGAGACCTGAATTTAAGAGCTAAAACCCTAAAACTCTTCAGAAAAAAAATATGTGTATCTTAGTAATCTTGCATTTGGCAATACTTTAATTCTAACACCAAAGCACAAACAACCAAAGAAAAAAGATAAATTTAGACTTCATCAAAATAGAAAAGTTGGTCAATGAGTATTTGTTAAATTGGTGAATAAAAAATTTTAAATTCCCCAGATAGAACACATTTTCAAATATACCAAATATATTACAGTCAGTTAGAGGCAAGTCTTCTTAACTGTGAATTCATGAACTTTGCGGTCTATGAATCTCTGGATGCATTTTGCAACTTTGCGTAGGTGGTAATGCACATTTTTCTGGAGAAAGTGTCCATAACTTCCATTAAATTTCCAAAACCATCTATGACACAAAAAAGCACATGCTCCCCTCTGGGGTAGAGACTCATGTAGACAGTAATCTTCAGTAGGTCATGCTCTCCACAGGGTTTAAAACTCACCCATGCCAACCCCCGTTCCAAGATCTGATATGCCTTCTGCCATATCAGGGGTGTAAGTTGGGTATGTGTTTGAGGTTGAGTATCACAAATTTAATCATGTAGTAAAAAATCCAGCCATGTTTTAGCAAATTAAAATCATTTAAAGAATGTGAAATGTCCAAATAGCAATAAATCTATACGAGTCAATAAAAAACCCACCAAGTAAAAACTGAACTTTAATATCTTTCCCCAAAATTCCCAATTTATAAATTACTATGCATTTGTGTATATATTTACACAAATATACATCATAAATTCCCTCATCTTAAATCAGCCTTCCACAGGAGCAGGGTTCTGGGAACCTAAGACAATGGCTGGTCTGAGTTGGTGCTCTGAGGAAGCCCTCGGTCTTGACACCGGCTGCTGTGTGTGCATCACCAGGGTCCGCTCTATAGCACCACAGATGCACAGCAAAGGTGCCAGTTTTGCTGCAGTCCAAATTCATGGATCCAGGTGCTTATAGAGTCTGCGGCTTTTCTCTTTTTTATTTCTGTTGCCATGTTTTTTCCAGGGCTTTCCAGCCCCCCTCTCAGAGCTCACAGCAGCTGCTGTCACCAAGCCACTCCCAGGCTTGTAGCCCATCACAGCCTGAACTCCTTTGGTCAGAGCTCTCACATTTTCCTAGGAAATAAGGGAAGATATTAATGGCGGTGTCAGCAATCTCTTTCAGAGGATACGCACAGAACTGCTTGTAGAGAACTCCAGGATAGTGGACTTCCATCTCTAACTGCTCTTCTTTCTCTCTCCATTCCTGAATTAAGTTTCTCAGAGTTTTGTCTTCAATTCATTCTGCCTTCAACTTTTGTTTAGTCCCATGGCTTCAAACACCATCTATAACAATCCTATTACCAGCTATTTTCTGGAAATCTCTCTTGATATCAAAATTCTACTTGTGCAACTCAGTTAGAAGCTGACTCTACATTCTTTATTTCGGCCAGTGGTATAAGAACCTGCTCAGCTGCCAAGATGACACAGTCTCTTCTTATCTGTCACAACAGTTAGGCACTGAGTTCTGTAGACTCCAGTCTCTAGAACTTCGTACATCTTCCCCTCTTATTCATCCCTACTGCTTTAACCCAGGGGTTCACTGGTTTTTACTGGATCACTGCAAGACTCCTTGAATCCAGAGTCCACACTTCTATCAGAGTTCTCTAATCTGTATCTAAGTCCTGTCCTCAGAGATCTCTGAAGGTTCCACGTAGACTGGGGAATCAAGTCCATATTCCCTACAATGGCACACAGGGTCACCTGCAACATGGGTTCTGTGCCTATAAAGCCCACACTCCCGTATCTTTTTGCCTCTGTTCACCAACTCCTTCTGCCTGGAAATTTCATCACTTCTTCTTCCCACTGACACATTTTCATTTGTTTTTCAAAGCCTAGCTTAAATATCACTACCTTCTGTAGTTTGGCAAGGACGTGGAGAAATTAGAACCCTCATACACTGCTGGTGGCAATGTACAGTGGTATAACCACTTTGGAAAAAAGTGTGGCAGCTACTGAGACAGTTAACCATACAGCAGTTCCAATGACCCAGCAGTCCTACTCCAAAGTGTACACCCAAGAGAAATGACATACATGTCCACAGAAGAACCTGCACATGAATGCACACAGCAGTTGTATATACAAAAAGTGGAAACAACCCAAATATCTATTAACTGACAAATGAATAAACAAAATGTGGTATATTCCATTTAATGGAATATTACTTGGCAATAATAAACAAAATATGTACGGATACATGAATGAACCCTGAAGCTATTAGGCTTAGCTAAAGAAGCCAGCCACAAAGGATCATACAGTGTATGATCCCATTTATATGAAATGTCCAGAACAGACAATCTGTTTATAGAGAAAGTAGATGACTGGTTGGAAGGGGCTAGGTGAAGTAAGGAATGGGAAGTGAATGCTAATGGGTACAAGGTTTCTCTTTGGAGTGATAAAATGTTCTAAAATTAGATGGTGGTGATGGTTAACATAACTCTGTGAATATACCATAAACTATTAAATCATATATTTTAAAAGGGTGAATTCAATGATAAGTAAATGACATTCCAATAAAGCTGTTACACAAAGTGTACTGGATAAGAAGTTAAAGAAAAACTTTAAAACTCACCTGATGGAAAAAAGTTTTATCCACTATATTTTCAATCTGATGTGCCTTTTTATTTCTAACCACCTGCATTTTTATTTCCCCACCATTCACTTTTTTCTCCAGGAGCTGCTGGTGTTGGTACTGAAAGGTCACAGGATCTCTGCCAGGAGGAGGATGACAGTACAGGAGTTTGCCCTGCAGAGACAACACCTGTGGTAACAGCACATCCTCAGAGCATCTGTGTCAAGTTCACGGAGGTGGCCTCTCCCCAGGGCACACTGATGGAACTTTCTTCCTTTTGACAGCCGAGTTGAGTTCTGGTCACTGCGACCAGAGAGTCCTAACACCCAGACGATGATCCTTACTGTTCTAGAGGCCTCACTCCTTCCATAGTCCTAACTTAGAATGAAATCTTTCTTCTCTGTGCCCCTAGAGTCTTGTTTAACGTACTCTTCAGCCCAAGTATGTGATTACATTGGGTTGGCCAAAAAGTTGTTTGGGGTTTTTCTGTAACATCTTATGTAAAAACCTGAACAAACTTTTTGGCCAATCCAAAACTTAATGTGGTAGATGGTGGTTCAGTCACTCAGTCATGTTCAACTCTGCAAGCCCATGGACTGCAGCCCACAGGCTCCTCTCTCCATGGGATTCTCCAGGCAAGAATACTGGAGTGGGTCGCCACTTCCTTCTCCAGGGGATCTTCTGACCAAGGGATTGAACCGGGTCTCCTACACTGCAGGCAGTCTCCTGCATTGTAGGTGGATTCTTCACTGACTAAATCACCAGGGAAGCCCTATACTTAATGTGAGTATTTTCCAAAACAAAAGCCAGGATGCAGTTGGATAGTGTGGCTGCACTAATAGGGACACTGGGCCTAATGCCATTGTTCACTGGGTGCCAAGTTTCCTCTTTCTACCATATATACATACAAAGACTTTTTAAACTCATTCTCCCCATCCTCCACCTAGACAGCGTATTAAAAAGCAGAGACATCACTTTGCCAACAAAGGTCTGTTTAGTCAAAGCTATGGTTTTTCTAGTAGTCATGTATGGATGTGAGAGCTGGACCATAAAGAAGGCTGAGCCCCAAAGAACTGATGCTTTAGAACTGTGGTGCTAGAGAAGACTCTTAAAGAGTCCCTTGGACACCAAGGAGATCAAATCAGTCAATCCTTAAGGAAACCAACCCTGAATATTCATTGGAAGGACTGCTGCTGGAGTTGAAGCTCCAATACTTTGGTCACCTGATGCAAAGAACTGACTCACTGGAAAAGACCCTGATGCTGGGAAATGGGGTGAAAGAGGATGAAATGGTTAGATAGCATCAGAGACTCAATGGACATGAGTTTGAGCAAACTCCAGGAGATGATGGAGGACAGGGAAACCTGGTGTGCTGCAGTCCATGGGGTTGCAGAGTTGGACACAACAGAGCAACTGAACCACCACCCCCACCCCCCACCCCATCCTTCACAGATTTACAAATGGCAAAGAATAATTAATAGATAATTCATCCATACAAGTATTCTATTAACTATTTTCTTCCTAAATTAAAAAAGAACACAGCTACCCTCTTATTTCTGTGCCTCCAAAGCCCCACTGCTGACATACTGAGAAGGGGAGGGAATAAAGTGACATCCTCACAGCCAATTATTATACCCCCTGCAATACTTTTTGTGGAAAGAAATAGCTTACTACTACTGCTACTAATAAAACTACCGGGGCTAATTTTACACTAGGCACTGAGCTAAGTGGTATTTGTGTATATGGGGGTGTCTGTCTCCAACTCATATACACCACTCTCATTTATTTCCCATAATAATCTCAAGAGATAGGTACTATGAACTCCTATTTCGCTGATGAGAAAAACCCAAAACTCACCATGTCCTCACTGTAACAGAAAAATAATAGCTCACAGACTTACATACTTTATCACCTTTACTGGTAACAGATATTCAAAGATGTTCATCTATTTCATATCATGTCAGTCCTTTCTATGTTTTATACAATGCTGGCTCCCCTGGATCAAGAGTACAATTCCAGTTATAAAACAGTATCAAAGAGAAAATATCTCCTTTATAAGCCAGCTGGTTGCCATTACCCTAACCACATGCAATGGAAGAACAAGAGGCAGGGTTCACTTACATTGACATAATCCTTCAGGATGTAGCGCGCAGATCGAGGCTGGTCTGGCTGTCCATGTGCTGTCATGAATCCTCGCATACCTATAAGGAGAAATGAATTTTGTAAAACCTAATTTAGAAGACATTGTAACAAAGAAACTTGAGGTAATGAAAATCTAGCCTTTTCTGTTACTACACTGCATTCTTATTCTACCTTAAAAAAAAAATCAATTAATAATGTAGAAAATACTTTGGTTAGCATTACAAATACAGCTAATAATCCAGGACCAACTATACTGGTACATCTGCTCTTTTGCCAAACACCGAGCAGCATGTGACAGACATGTTCAGTCTCTCTCTAGTTATTTCTTCAATCTCTTCCATTTTAAACACTGATTCAAGGAGGCTACTTGTAGAATGATACGTTGTCATTATCAGCAAGACCAAAAGCAACAGATCAAGTTTTCTTATTTAATGATATACCTACACTTTTTTCAGTTTCCCAAACATACAACAAAGATCCCTTTAATACTAACTCAATCAGAAGGGAGCACCAGAGCACAGCTGGTAACAACACAGGTTTTAGCTGACAGGTTAAAAACCCAGCTCCTCATCCTAGCTCTATGTTGGGTCCTTTAGTTTAGAAGAAAGTAGTTACAACTATACACAAAAAATACATTCAGGAGCAGGATGAAAATCTAAAAATTAAAAAAAAAATTATAGGAAAACAGTTTTTCCCAAGTAAAACACCAAACCCAACAAAACTAAAAAGGAAAAAAACTATTGAAATCATTGACTTCCATAGAGCTAAAGAAAATGTACATCAGGAAAAACATTTGAAACATAGGTAGCAAAGAATTGCTATAAATCATTAAGACACAAACGAATGATGCATAGAAAAACGTGATTCTTAGAAGATAAAATGGTTAACAAATATATGGACAGATGATGAATTGTACTAGTATTTTAAGAGTGTTTAGGCATGTGTTTTTACAAACTGGCTTTGTCCTCACTTTTTGATTTATCACAGAGAATTAGATGAAAAATTTGAAAAGACTCATACTACTTTCAGTTTTACTTGGAAATCAAACCAGATGGAAGTCTGATACAAAGTCTACTTTTCCCTGTTATTTTTCCCTGTCTTTCAGGCCAGCACAAGGAAGAGATGAATTAGGAAAGAAACCTGGGTTCTCACTGAGGCTATGCCACTGACCAGACACCACCCTGGACAAGTCATTTCATGCTCAGAGTTCAGATTACTTGTCATAAGGAAAGGGAGATAAAAGATGGGGAAATCTTTAAGACCTCTTCTTATCCTATGATTTTGTGACTGTATCAGTCTTACCACAAGTGCTTAATATCCATCCTCTTTAAAATATCTCAACTAAAAAAAAAAAAAAAACAACTCAACTAAGGCAAAAATTCAAGGTCTGATTTAACTGTGGTTTATATCAAATCACCTTTGTCTGCCAGTAAACACTCAAATAACCTGAACTCTTTCCTGGCTGAGGGCAATTTCTTGAAAGGCAAGATACATACACATGGAAATTTTTTAACACTGCTATTTGTTAGGTAGATACAGGTCTTTCCAGATTAAAGTTTGTGTTTAAGATAAATAAATCACAGTCAATTGGAGAAATGACAAAGATAATTCACATGTGTGTGTACGCTAAGTAGCTTTAGTCATCTGACTCTGTGCAACCCTATGGACTACAACCTGCTAGGTTCCTCTGTCCATGGGATTCTCCAGGCAAGAATACTGGAGGGAGTTGCCATGCCCTCCTCCACGGGATCTTCCCAACCCAGGGACTAAATCCTCATCGCTCATGTCTCTTGCACTGGCAGGCAGGTTCTTTACCACTATCACCACCTGGGAAGTTTCTACATGGAACTCCCATGAAGAAAAGCCAATAGAGCCTCAGATCAGAACCCCTACATCTACACTTGGATAGAAGGCCTCCTACAGGAAAGGGCCTGAGACCATGAAAGCCTGGGAAGACATGTCTCCCAGGCACTGATTTCTATGGTGAAAACCTGTGGAAGAGGCAAGGAATATAGCACACCTCCTTCTCTAACTCTAAAAAGCACCTAACATGAAGTAAAATACCACTCAGGCAGCAGTCGGCTCCTTCTCCTTTACTGCCGGACCCTGAAACCACTACCAAGTCAGCTACCTGGAGGCTACTCTGCAGGCAAGACCAATAAGACCACAAAAATATCAACCCTGAAAGATGACAAATGCTAAGGGAAAATTCTGAATTTGTATCTTTGCAGGGTACTTCTGTCAGTAATTACATTGTTATTTTTTGTTCACATTTTAAAATGAATCACCGCTCACATCCATAAGCCGTTAGCAGTTCTTCTGATGTTGGAGGTCGCTGGGGATCTTCATCTTCTCTAGGCTTTATGATGTCAATGCCATAAGTAGCTTCTAAAACATGTCTTGGAATATTCTGGCAAACATAAGCTTGTCAAGGAATCTACTTCTCTGAACTGATCCCCCTCTTCCTCCCCATGGCATCTTCTGAGAACACTGTATTTCAGCACTATGGTGACAAAAAACTTTCCACCTCTCCAAAGAAATATGATTATTCTTAATTTTAAAAGACTTTCCGTCCCTCTTTTTAAAAAAGCCTTATGCACCAATGATTACCTCCAAATGTACCCCTTTAAAAATATTATCTCTGAAACAGACTTCAAGATGACACATTTTTACCTAAATACACTACAGATTTGTGAGATGATCCTAATTGAGACAAATCACACAATCTTTGTTTCTAACCCTTACAATTATGTAAGGAAGGATTATTTTTTCCTCCCCTGTTTAATTACTCAGATTTTTCTGAAGCTCCAATGTACACAAAACAACCACAATTTTGGCACAGCACCAAGGATATTAGTGATACAGGTGGGACATGATCTCTCATCTGGTCAATTGGGAGGATTCCACTGCAAATCATCTCAGCTTTGGTAGAGACAAAGGATGGCATCACCAGGCCTGGGCAGTCACACAGGCAGAGGCCAGGTTCTACATAGAGTGTCTGAAGGACAAGGAAGGGGGTTATAGCTGGGCACACAGCATGGGAAGGGAAAGAAGAGCAGCACACGGGTGGCAGAGAACTTCAGAAAATACTCAGAGGGAGGAACTATCTGAGGAGTAAATACAAAGGCTGATGCTGCAGAAATACCTGAAAATGCTTGGTGTGACCAGGTGTAGCAGACACAGATACCTTCTTGTTGCCTAGGATGGTGTTGATTGTTGAACTCTTACCAACATTTGGATAGCCCACCTAGAAGGGAGTCAGACGGAATGTCTACAGTAAAAGTTGGCAATCATCACAGGATGCCAAAAGCCTACACTGTCTAAAAAGCCGGCATCACAGGATGCCAAGAGCCTACCCTATCTAAAGGAAAGAACACTGGACCAGAGGGCAGAAGACAACCTTAAAAGTTTTCATTCTGGTATCTCTTGTAAGTCACGAGACATGTAGGGATTAACTGGGAGACTGTAGAAGGTAATATGAACAGGGGTGTAACCAGTTTAAGCCCTGAGAAAGTTCATTCTTTGAGTTGGGCTGTCTGTCACACATGGCCTGCTCCCATGACGCCCATGGGCAACAAGAAGTCTTCAGTCTTCCCTATGACACCAGGGCCTCACTGGTCTCTGGGGTTCCAGTGCAGTGGAAATACAGACCCTCGAGAATCAATTTTATGACATATCTCATCTTACCAGTCCAACAGTAAGTTGTCCATCCTTCACCTTCTTTCCAGAGTGCAGCTGCTTAAAGACCTCAAGTAACTCCTGCTTTGATACCAAGTGACTAAAATTGTGTATTTGCCTCTTCTGCGGGGTTTTCCTTTCCTGAGCCTCAGAATCCAGAGTATGGGCCTCCTTGCAGTCCTGGCCATAGGCTTCCTCATCAGGGCTACTGCCATCTTCCAAACACGTCTGCCAGTCCTCTTCCTCCTCCTGACAGTCCTCATACTCACTCTCTTCTTCTTCACTACTGGCAACTGCACCAAGTGAAAGATGTTCAGTCTCTTCGTGTAGAATTTCAGCTTCGTCGCAACTGGAGTTTTCAAACTCGGCTGTGATAGCTTCTCCAGTGTCTCCGTTTACTTCTTCCTGATGAAATAACAGAAACCACAAAAGTTCAGAAGTGTGTAACAACTGCACTTTTCACTCTGGTAAAAACACTCAGAGTTGGTTATCTAAGATGAACAGAGGACAAAAAAACATTATGAAGGGAAAGGTGAAAAGAGGGAGATGAGATAACATGAGGATATAACTGAACTATCCACGGTGGTGCCCTCCAGAGAGGTGGACCTTCATATCACACATTTTTGCATTATTTGAACAAATAACATCTATTACTTTTCTAATAGATAACTGTTGTCTATGACTATATTACCATGAACACCTTGATCTTGTCTAATAGATAACTCTTTTATCTATTAAAAAAAAAGTAAGAGTTTAGAAAAGCCTGTGTCAAGCTGAATTCCTTGGCAGTACTTTTGCAATGGGCTACAGAATAAAACAAAAGCATTCTCATTAACAGTAAAAGAGTTAATATTCTCTTCTCTGCACAAAGCAAGAAGGGTATAATTTATAATTAAATATTTTCATTTTCAAAGACAGTGATTTTCATAGTTAAGGAAACTATTCTTTTATAACTATCTTTAATAAATCATAGCATCATGGAGCACAGGTCCTTGTGTGTGAAATATGAGAGCAACAAAACAACTCTGTGCATGGAAATTATTCACCAAACAATAACTTCTTTTGGAAAGAGAACGGTAAAAATGATTTACAATTCATGGGTATATTAATCCTTCTGGATGAATTACAAGTTGGAATCAAGATTGCCAGGAGAAATAACAACCTCAAATATGCACATGATACCACTCTAATCACAGAAAGTGAAGAGGAACTGATGAGCTTCTTGATGAGGGTGAAAGAGAAGAGTGAAAAAACTGGCTTAAAACTCAGCATTCAAAAACTAAAATCATGGCATCTGGTCCCATCACTTCATGGCAAATACATGGGGAAAAATGGAAACAGTGACAGATTTTATTTTCTTGGGTTCCAAAGTAATTGCAGATGGTGACTGCAGCCATGAAATTCAAAGATGCCTGCTCCTTGAAAGAAAAGCTATGACCAACCTAGACAGCATATTAATAAGCAGAGACATACTTTGCCGACAAAGGTCTGTACAGTCAAAGCTATGGTTTTTTCCAGCAGTCATGTATGGATGTGAGAGTTAAACAATAAAGAAGGCTGAGCATCAAAGAACTGATGCTTTTGAACTGTGGTGATGGAGAAGACTTTTGAGTCCCCTGGACAGCAAGGATATCAAACCAGTCAATCCTAAAGGAAATCAACCCCAAATATTCATTGGAAGGACTGATGCTGAAACTCCAATACCCTGGCCACCTGATGTGAAGAACTGACTCATTGCAAAGACCTTGATGCTGGGATAGACAGAAGGCAGGAGAGGGGGACAAAAGAGGATGAGACAGTTGGATGGCATTATCGACTCAATGGACATGACTTGGAGTAAACTTCGGTAGACAGTAAAGGACAGGGAAGCCTGGCGTGCTGCAGTCCATGAGATCACAAAGAGGTGGACATGACTTAGCAACTTAACAACAATCTTTCTGAATAATAAAGCAGAAATACAACAATTCACAGTATTACCAATTCTTATCAACAAGGGTAAATTGATTTAGATTTAGATTTAGAAGTGATGCAAACCTATCATTTCCAAATAATCTAGCGTTAGAATGAGTAGCCACTACAGGAGAGGGCATAATAAACTCAGTTAAATAGGTATCCTACATTTTAGGGAAGAAAAAAAAGTCAGGGAGAAGAGGTATGATTTCACTGTCATTTCAGGAGACTCAAAAAGAAACTTGGAATTGGAGCAATTTCTATAATAAAGGTCACAAAGTCACTATGTACTATTCTGAACCATTTAAAAGTATGAAAGAGGCAGAACACAATAATGTGAACTGAACATGGGTATTTGCTAGGAAAACTAAGGCTTGAAGCAGTTTAGGTTCAGGAAAAATGATAAAGGCAACAAAAGGACTTTGCTGTAGTTACATCAAAAATTAAAAGAAAGAAGGGACCAATTGAAAAAGTATATACAGCTCCCGTGCTAAGACTAGCGAGTGAGGCGCTCTCCATCCCCCCTCTGATGTCTATGTCAGAAGCTTTCTCTGTCCCTTTTTCACTTTAATAAAACTCTGCTACACACACATACACACACACACAAAAAGAAAGAAAGAAAGGGAAAAGTCCATCTTTTGGGGAACACAGTGCAATTTAACAAATGGCCGAGAGAAAACAAAAGTACTCTATTAAAAAAAAGTCTCATGGCTGATTCATATCAATGTATGGCAAAACCACTACAATATTGCAAAGTAATTAGCCTCCAACTAATAAAAATAAATGGAAAAAAAAATCCCATTAAAAAAAAATAAGAATGGTTACACAACCATGGAGAAAAGAGCAAACTTCAGATAGGTGAAAAAATAGTGAATATCTAGTTTTTAATAAGTTCATGCTTGATATTCAAATGACAGATGCGATTAGATACGATAACATAACAGTAGCTGGTAACAACTTGGAAAATCATGAACAGAGATTTCAGAAGATTTAGGAAGAATAAATAGGGTTCAACTTTTAAAAAGGAAGAAAGAATATCTTCCATAAACCAAGCACTGGTAATCCAGTCTGACAGTGAAACAATTCTACAAGTTAGCTGACAGACACAACAGGAGGCAGCAAAGATTCCCTGAGAATACATCGTGCAAACAAATCCCATTTCCCTTGGGAATCTACTCCTTGGTTGCCAGTTCAGGGAATACTAGAGATGTAAAAACTGATCCTTTTCCCATTTTCAACAGGGCCACTGGGTTGATGCATCAGGGCTGAGTGACATATTGATAAATAGTTATTCAGCACTGCAACTAGACACCAGCTTACAGGAAGGATTTGAAACAAGAGAAGCAATAATGAAGAGGACAGACTATGAAGCCAGATTGCCCAAGGATTACAGGCACTTACACTCTTTCTGGAGAAGATGAAATAAAACACAGGAAGTACTCAGAATAGCAGTGCCTGGTAAGAACAGGTTTTCTGTGGGTTAGTTTTTATTAACAACAGTAACAGCCCAATAACTACTGATACAGTCTTTCAAATACATCTTAAATGCTTGGTACACCTGCGCTTATTAAGTCCACAAAAGGTCACAGAACTCTATCCTCAGCCCCAGACTACTCAACAGCGTTATCAATGAACATTAAGAAGACACAGAAGGGCCAACACAGTGTCTGCAGATGATTCAATTCCGGAAGAGAAAAGCAAATGACATATCCAAAATGAATTCTACCTTGTCCCCAAGCCACTAATATTTAAGAGGAACATGTCCTAAGCTGAGCTAAAAATAAAGTGAAAAACTTTCCCCACATGTAAAGATAGATGAGATCTGCTTGCTGAAGTCTTATCTTTAAAATACTGAGTTGGTCAAAAAGTTCGTAAAGGTTTCTCCCTTAAGGTAGTCCGGGAAAACCAGAACAAACTTTTTGGCCAATCTGATATTTGAGGGATACGGTTGTTCATAGGTTTAATGAGCCCAAAGCATAAGCTCCTTTGAAAGAAGGTGAATTAACAAAAACCCTGAATTCCTGGGAGTGTCCTGATCACAAGAAGTAAGAATACATGTCCTGGGCAAAGCACACCTGGAGGACTACACTTGATCAGTGGCCACCCATTTTGGGAGCTCTCCTGACTCAGGCAGAGAGGCCCTCAGGGTGAGGAGTGCACGTGAGGACACGTCGGTAAGGAGCAGCAAAGCAGAGATATGTGCCTTCTGCAGAGGAGAGAACACAGGGAGAAAGGAAGAGGCCTTAAACTAAAGCTAGGAGAGCTGAACCTTACTGGACTAAAGAACTTTCACCCTGGAGAGAAAAAGAATGGGACATCTGGTATGTATGGCCTGAGAGAGTATGCGACTGTCTGCCAGGGAGGTGGAGGGAAGAAGTCCTTCAGAGTCAGAGCTCACTAACTTGTGAGCTCACCAACAAGAAGGGGTTGTATTCAGAGCACCCAGCTCAGGCCACTAACTCATCGGCAATGGCTAACAGAGGTGAGACGAAAGGAGGAGACAGGAAGAGACATGACTTTAGGTCTCTTTCAGCTCTAAGATGCTATTGCTAAGTTCCTTCCATAGCTGGTTATCATTAATTTTTATTAGAAAATAACCCTTAAACTGTTTCTAGCAAAACTGGGTTAAAACCCATGGTATATCTTAATTTAGTATTACTTGATTTCTTTGTTTTCAAAACAAAGTCAAAAGAGATTCTAGTCGAGTCCAGAGAAGTTATTACATTCAGCTGTATCTGAATTTTGGTTTTGACTTCTCTTAAAAGCAACTGTAAAGTCATTAGGAAAGTTCCTATACAACTTTCTGCCTAACATTTTAAAGAAGTATGTGTCTTCAGAGAAAGCAACTTTGCAACTTACTTTTCTGTAGGTCATCATACTACCCTACTACTTGGGGAAAAAAGAAATGAAGCCCTACAAATCAACAATAAGAAAAAACAAACAAAGCACATTGAACAGAAACCAAAATCTTCCTCCCTGAAGCCCAACCCGAGAAGGCCCCGATTACCTCAGAGTTAGCCATCAGCTGAATGGCTTCAGCCAAAGCTGACCAGAAAATGACCTTCACGTTTTCTTTTTCGAAGAATTCAGCCCAGGCACTCCGCTGCTCGATAGTCAACAAGTCTGCCTTATTCACCAGAATAACATTCTCCTTGTTGTCATCAATGGTTTTCACATAACACTCCTAGGGAAAACAAAGATATTCAGGTATCTCTCCAAATGGTGAAAAATTTGGCTATTATACTGAAGACCCCCTTCCCTAGTCCCTTTTATTTATTACTAAAAGGTCTTACTGTCACTGGTTTTAAAACAGTCCTAATATGAAAGATTTTTAATCATGGTACATGATTAAATCCATGGTATAGATACTTTCAGCAGGCTTTGAAAAGAAGTTAGGTCACATATGCTTACAAACTCTTCACAAAAAAAAAACTAAAGGGTAAAAAGGAAATGCTTTCCTGCCCTGTTCTTATTTCTTTAAATTATACAGTTTCTTTCAAGCAAAGATAAATAATTGCGTTTAAAAAAAAGATTTGTCAGTCAACAGGAACTATTTTCAAGCCAAATGATGACAGTCAATAATCTTATAAAAAATATTTTTGAAGTCTAAAAGGAAAATAAGACCCAGTGATTAAGTTAACCCCAAGCATAGCTTTCCATTAGGAAATACCCTAAAAATATTGAAAGCTGAATTAGTAAGGGTTTCCCTATTTTGAATTTTGTTATTCACCAGATTTTAAAATAATGGTCCTGCTGTGGCCCTCAAACAGAAACAGGAACACTTCATGTGTTTTCAACCTTATTAATTCAAAGCCTGTATCGCCTCATTTCTAGTGATACTCACACCTTAATGATGACCCCCTGCAGTATTTTACAAACTTAGATCATTTGTAGAATACCAGAGAAGGTAGTAACTATGGTGTAAGAAGAGAAAGCTTAGTGGGATGAACGGACTAGGCATATGCCAAAATCAGCAAAATGCTACTTCATTTACTTAAAATTCTCTTAAAAAATGAGACACACTGGCAAATGCCTCTGAACAGAGTGGCTTCTAAACTAAAAGCTAGAAAGTTCAAGTGTTTGTGGCTTCTTGCAGATGCAAACAGCTGTCTGAAGAAAACATGTCTAAAGGGTCCCATTACGCAGGCTCCTGGCCTTGGGAGGAGCGGGAGACCTGACAGAACAGGGTGCAAAGGCCGGCTTAGAGTCACTGCTGTCGGTGATGCTGCTCTCCCACTGCTGCTCCAAGGACTTTGAGTTTGAATCCTGTCATGTTTTACTTACCAAATCCTCACACCTAAACAGGAGTGGATTTCGAGCATCTACTATCTGGACCACAATATCACTGAAAAACAAATGTGAGACATGCCAGTCACTGTGAAATGAAAGGAAATAGTATTGAGAGCAAACATTTTCTATATGTTAGGCACTGATGTATTTAATTTTCAATAGGTACAATTATCCCCAGTTTATATGTGAAGAAACTGAAGCTTGGAACAGCTAAGTGGCCTACTCAAAGCCACAAGGTACTAAGTGATTGAGTTTGAAGGCGAACTCAAGCACTCTGGACCAGAGATCATGCTATAATCATAACATTTTCCTGCTCTTAATATGCTAAAATTTTTAACTATACCTTCTAGTAATCTCTCCTGGAAAGATTAAAGAGTTATTCCAAAGACTTCAATCCAAGGTGATGTCTACTATATACTCTATATACTCAGCACCCAGTCTACACTTGTGTTAAGTAAGGCCTCAAAAAGCCCTAATATATCACCTGATCACAGCTGCCACTATAAAGCCTATAAACCTCACTTAAACCCTTCTGACATCTAGCAAATCATCATCCACCAGTTTCAAGAATGTGCTTAAATGAGAAAATTCAAAACAGCGAAGTATCAACCTAAGTTGCCATGGTGAAGCAGGAAATGATGAATGCAACCCCTTTCATCACACAGAAGATGGAGCAAAATGAAAACTTTCTGCACAGACAGCAAGTCCCTCAAATTCCTCACAAAGGTAGCAGGGACCAGCAGGCCAGCACTGCATGAATACTACACTTCTCCAATAGGATCCTCCCTGCCTTCAGCCTCTGTGGTTAGGAAAGATGCTGTGACCATCGCTGGGAGGGAACAAGCTGAGCATGTACCAGCACCTTCCAGCAGTCTTCCCAATCCATGTCTGGTTCGTTCTTCCTGGAGTAACTCCTATGCAACTATGCTGAACACCAAGGAAATGTGTTAAATCAAGGCTACCATTCAGGGCAGGGCTTTTGACAAATCTGGGTCTGCATTTTCCTTCAGAATAAATTTGCAGCATAATCTTGTGAGTAAAGGAACTCACAAACTTGCTAATTTATGACAAGATGCTTAAAAAGTTCTCTAGTTAAGTGGGTCCTAGTATTTCCTTCTTTAAGGTATTATCTACTGCTTTCCATCTGTAAGGATTTACCAGTAAATGCAAAAATGACTGCAAAAAATGGACAAAGTCTAATGAACCAAAGTCCATAAACATTATGTCTACCTGCCGAAGAGGCAGAAAGAATAACCAGCTTAGACACACCAGTAAGAAAAGACAAGTTTAAGATGGCTTGCTTCGTGTACTGAATTAAGATGCAGGGCAAAGTGCCAGTTATGTGCTAGGAAGTGTTGATGCAATGCAATGGAAACACCTTGTCTGACTGGAAGCAGCATTCTGCCCTCTGTGCCTCAGCAGTTTCCTGCATTTCAATGAAATGTTATACACCAAATCCTTTCTGATAACTATTCTTGAAATTAAAGAAGCAGATGACATAGCTAGTTTGTTACCAAACAGGAGACACCTGCTGTTTTACAGAACATATCAATAAATATTTCCTGTTAAGAGACAGGGCAGGAGTCACTTTATTGATATTTTTATGTAATTCACATCCACGTCCATGTGATAGAGCAACAGAACAAGTGATGCTGTAATCCAATTGAAGCTACAAGTTTCAACAGGTCCAGGCTTACTCTGGGGAAACAAACAGCTTATCTAGGGACATAAAAAATAAGGGAAGGGCCTTCCTGTTAAACATGGAAGAATTCATATGGTTACCTTTGTTCCCTCTTAAGACCTACAAAAATGAAAGGCTGGAACTCATTAGGACAAAATGAAAGAAGAGCAACTTACAAAGTCAGCCAATGAGAAGCAGCCCTGTTCACACTCCAGAGCTCTGAAGAAGCTCAGGATCAAAAGCATCAGATGCAGTTTTTGAGACAAGGGCAAGGTGTGGGGCTAAAATCACTCTGAACAGGGAGTGATTAGGTCCATTCCCTTGTTCCATTCAGCCAGGCAGCCACACTTCACCCCACAGCCCCTCAGACCCCTGTCCCAATGGCAGAAGGCCAGGCTTTATTGTGGAGAAGATGAACCTGAGAGGTTCCAGAACTAGGACCTCAAGCATAGGAGAAGGTGGGAAAGAGATGCCATACTGAAGAGAGGAAGATTAACATTAAGTCTACACATACCCCAATGGTGGAAAGGCCCAGCCCCTGTATAGTATATTATCACCTTTACCCCATTCCTGGAGGACGATCATGCTTCTCTTTAAGAAACTGACTGATCCTAGGGAAAACACCCATAGATACTAATATCTTAGGAAATCCCCCCAAAATAAAATTGACCTCTGCTCAGTCACCATACAGAGTTGTTCACCTGGTGGCCAAATCACCCAAACAGAAGTCCTGTCAATCAGCTTTGTAACACTTTGTTTTCTTAAATATGAACAGATGGCAAACACCACTTGACACCTGTGAAGAGCCTCTTACATGAAAAGTCAGAAACCAGAATAAATAAGGAAAAAAAGAAATGTGGAAAAAGATGGACAATGTATGAAACAGGAGAAAATCTAGAATTAAAAAATTAACTAAGAGTGTGCAGATGGGGGCATTCCCTCAAGGTTGAAGTTTCAAATTTTCACATTGTTACCAATTCTATTTGGAAATAAGAAACAGCATTTTCAGTAAGAAAACAGGCATTTTCAGCAATATACATTCTGACTGCATGAAGTGAGAGATCAGTCCATTCCAGTCCCCAAAAGAACCATATTGGGTCTTCCTAAGCCCCATTCAAACCTAGGTCAATCTAAGAGGTCAGCATGGAGCCTGGCAATTAGCAGCAACCTTCCCCTTCCTTCAGGCTTAGAGATCTGCCTTAATATTCTCACCTCCTCACATCCCAGCCCAATGACCCTCTCTACCTGAGGGAGCAAGATGGGTTGGAGGCATCTAAGTGACTTTTAAGAAAAAGAGATAATTAACATTATCATAAAATTCATCCTTTTAAAAGTATACAATTTAGTGGTTTTTAATACAGCCACAGTTCAAAAGCATCGATTTTTCGGCGCTCAGCTCCCCTCACAGTCCAACTCTCACATCCATACATGACCACTGGAAAAACCATAGTCTTGACTAGACGGACCTTTGTTGGCAAAGTAATGTCTCTGCTTTTTAATACGCTGTCTAGGTTGGTCATAACTTTCCTTCCAAGGAATAAGCGTCTTTTAATTTCCTGGCTGCAATCACCATCTGCAGTGATTTTGGAGCCCCCAAAATTCAAGTCTGACACTGTTTCCCCATCTATTTGCCATGAAATGATGGGACCAGATGCCATGATCTTAGTTTTCTGAACTGTGGTGTTGGAGAAGACTCATGAGAGTCCCTTGGACTGCAAGATCCAACCAGTCCATCCTAAAGGAGATCAGTCCTGGGTGTTGATTGGAAGGACTGGTGCTGAAGCTGAAACTCCAATACTTTGGCCACCTCATGCGAAGACTTGCCTCACTGGAAAAGACCCTGATGCTGGGAGGGATTGAGGGCAGGAAGAGAAGGGGATGACAGAGGATGAGATGGCTAGATGGCATCACTGGCTCGATGGACATGAGTTTGAGTAAACTCTGGGAGCTGGTGATGGACAGGGAGGCCTGGTGTGCTGTGATTCATGGGGTCACAAAGAGTCGGACACGACTGAGCGACTGAACTGAACTGAACTGAATGAATAGAGCCACAAAGTTGTATAACTATCACCACTAATTCCAGAGGATTTTCATCACCCTAAAAAGAAATGTAAGTGACTTTTACAAATTTAATCCAAGCCCTTTTTCTTGGTAATAATGCTAAATATGCTAATATCCTTTCCCAAGAATCCCAGTGAAAGCATCCTGTTTCCTAACATTCTTACTGGATGTATTTTATAGATTAACCACACACACACCCCTACCCCCTGAAGGCTTGTTGTTAAAAGCATCATTTCAAATACAAGGTTCATTTAAGGGGTCCTTATAAATAATTCATACACTCTTTTGACAAAAATAAAAGACCTTTAGCAATAACAAAGAATGAGATTGAAGAAAGTTGATTCATCAATTTCTAACAATCAGGACATGGCAATGATCAAAAATCTCCTATTCTTAACTTATCAAAGTCATTCTCTTCTTTTCAAATCCCAATTGAAACAAATCACTCCCAAATTCCTCCAATACTACTAACTGTTCCTTCTTCTGCTCTGACTCTGCACATGACCCTTCCATCTGTAACACAGTAGGACTCACACTCCATCTTGTATTTTACTAGGGATTTCATCAACTTAGTGCAAGGATTGCATTTCAACTATTTGTGTGCCCGTGGTGTTTGACCTCTCCCCATAACACATTTGCTCTCTGCAAGTAGACACCAAACCTTTTTTACACCTGTATTTTCCATGTTCCTAGTATGAATTTGTATTTACTTGCTAAAATAACTATAGGTACTTCACAACTCAACTTACAGAAAACAATAACCATTATTTTAAGTTTATCAATGTGTTTATTAATAACAAACCCCCCTATATTTTAAAAGAAATGTAGGATCAGTTTCAGTTTTTATAATAATTCTCAGTAGCCCTTTGTAAAGCTTGATCCTGTTCCTTTAACCACTCCCTGGGCTCACAAACATATATAACATGCAAATCTATCGTAACACCACCACCACCACCACATCCTCCTTACACAAAAAGAAAATGGTAATCTACCTTCTCTCAATCACCCTCCAGAGTTGGCGCCAAAAGTCCAAATTTCTTTCAAATGGTGTCAATATCAGGTTTTGTTCCTCTTCCAACCTGGTTTTAGAATGAGAAGTTTATATTTCTGCTAGATTTTGATAGTTAGGTTTCAAGTAATATAAATACTCAAATTCACTGCATTAAAAAATAAGCACACAAATATTGTCAAATGATTTTTATATCCTTTCTGTTGAGTTAATATGCAAATCAAATTTAAATTTTCTACTTAAGCTTTTAAGTCCTACAGGTTTATCCATCACGTTGGAAGAAGGCTCCAGGGAGCAGTGATCACTCCAGAGTGACAAACAGCAGGAAAAGGATATGACAAGGAGAAAAGGCCAAGAATGCAGCAATGAATACACAACCTTTGTGTAAGGAAACACATGCACAAAGCAATGTGGCTTGCACATACACCAATTTGCACTTATAAGATGAAATCTACCATTTCTCTTTAAAAGAACAAAGCCTTAAAAATGCAAACAGCAATGCAAGCACACCAATATGCCTGACTCAAAATTTCAAGAAAATTCTTCATGGAGGTGAACACTCACCAGACAAGCTGACGTCTCCATTCTAGAAAGTTATCTTTCTCTGCCTGTTTGAGTTCTTCTGGACTAGTTTTTTGGTCCCACTTTGGTCTGAAACAATCATAAAGTAAAAAATAAACAACCCCACATGAGTTACCAAAATAGAATAGGATAACTGGATTTAATAATGGCAGTTGAGAAAAGAAAGCAGAAAAAAGTGAACACATTTAGTGGTTTTGTTATGCTTTTTAATATACTGCATTTTTACTCAACTCACCTCCTTGGTATACATAGGAACTGTTTGTTTTCTTCATGGAGTTTCTTAATTCTCTGGTTCTCCTCAAAAGATAGTAGTCCAGTTCTGGCCTCAGGAGGCACAAATTTAATATTAAGCTTCTCTGTCCATAGGGGGAAAAAAAAGTACTGCTATTTAAGAGGCAGTATAGAGAGTGAATTCATTACTTAGAATACTAAAAATATGAGCACCTAAAACAGAATTTAAGCTTTCTTGATTTACATAGATTCCCCTAACCTTGAATAAATTATAATTTTCAAAGGAAGTTTTCTACCAAAAAAAAAAAAAATCTTTACTAAATGTTTCAAAAGGTCAACCACTTTTTCAAGTACTGATTTTTATAAAACTCCATATGCTAAATGCATTTCTTGGAAACAGAAACAAGAGGAGTGGGAAATGATTGCAAATATTCATTACAACCAGTCTCCTCATTTTACCCATGGAGAATAATTTTAAGCCAAAGGGACTGAGGGGAAAAGCAAAGTTCAGAAAGCAGACTCACTCCAATCAGAACTGGTGAGCTACTACAAAGCTAGAATTTACATAAAACATTTATCAGTTCAGTTCAGACGCTTAGTCATGTCCGACTCTTTGCGACCCCATGAACCACAGCACGCCAGGCCTCCCCGACCATCACCAACTCCTGGAGTTGACTCAAACACATGTCCATTGAGTCAGTGATGCCATCCAACTATCTCATTCTGTCGTCCCCTTCTCCTTCTGCCCTCAATCTTTCCCAGCATCAGGGTCTTTTCAAATGAGCCAGCTCTTCGCATCAGGTGGCCCAAGTATTGGAGTTCCAGCTTCAACATCAGTCCTACCAATGAACACCCAGGACTGATCTCCTTTAGGATGGACTGGTTGGATTTCCTTGCAGTCCAAGGGACTCTCAAGAGTCTTCTCCAACACTACAGTTCAAAAGCATCAATTCTTCAGCACTCAGCTTTCTTTATAGTCCAACTGTGACATCCATACATGACCACTGGAAAAACCATAGCCTTGACTAGACGGATTTGTTGACAAAGCAATATCTCTGCTTTTTAATATACTGTCTAGGTTGGTCATAACTTTCCTTCCAAGGAGTAAGCGTCTTTTAATTTCATGGCTGCAATCACCATCTGCAGTGATTTTGGAGCCCAGAAAAATAAAGTCAGCCACTGTTTCCACTGTTTCCCTATCTATTTGCCATGAAGTGATGGGACCGGATGCCATGATCTTAGTTTTCTGAATGTTGAGCTTTAAGCCAACTTTTTCATTCTCCTCTTTCACTTTCATCAAGAGGCTCTTTAGTTCTTCTTCACTTTCTGCATTATAAATACTCACAATCAAGCTGGACAAGAATTTAAAAGAATAAAACAACACCCAGTGTATGTATAAACCAGAGGCCTCTGCTCTAGGCTCTATCCCAAGTTGCTCCAGTCCTCTTTACTGCACCTCTCCACAGCCACCTAGTCTCCGGGGCAGGTGACTTCAGTGAGATAAGCACTTGGAAGCCAGCTACGCTTCTTACCAAAATGCCAAGAGGAGGTCCTATTCAAGGATAACAGGTCATCTTTAGCAATGGTTCTCTTCTTCTTTAGGCAAAGACAGCAATCTACTACCCTCATGTGACCACCAATAATGGACAGTCCAGTCACCCAGAGTACATACAGTCCTTAGTCACCATTCTCATCATGTCATCCTCAACCACCAGTCAGAACACACACCCCTCTAACCCCATACTTGATCATTCTTTGACATTAATTTCTCCTTCCAATGGTGACCTCCCACCCAATGTTCCCACTTCGCTTGGTCCAAGCTCTGTAAATCCCTCTAGCCCCTTGATTCTTTCCTCTTCTCCCAGTCCACCATCTAGCTTATAGCTTCACTTCTTTCCCTATTTGGCTAAAACCACGGAGTATACCCATTCCACACTCTGACTGAACATCAAATTCCTTACTGCACTGCAGCTGCTCCCAAATCTCAAATCTTAGGGAGAGTCAACTACCCATTCCTGTTCTCATCTCAGTAGCCATAAGCAGTAAGCACATGATGGATGATGCAGCCACCCATCTCTGAACTGCTTTCACTACCAACATTTCTGATACCAAATGTATGGGTTTTCTCACACCAACAACCAGTTTTCCAACTCTCCAGACACCAGCTGGGTGTCCTTCAATTCAATTCTATTCTGGCACTATCAAGAGACTGCTCCCACTTCAGATGCCAAATCTGCAAATGGGTTTTTATGGAGGCCTCATTACACAGGTGCCACTGTTAAAAGAGTTGGGCACTGGTGATTAACTCAATCTCCAGGACATCTCCCATTCCCAGAGGTTGGGGGAGGAGTTTTGGAAAGTTTCAACCCTCAAATCACAGGGTAGGTTCCTGTGGCAATCAGCCCCCTGGCAGAAGCACTGTCCATCCTTCTCACAGCAACCTCAGGTCACCTCATTAGCATAAACTCTAGTTAAGACTGATAAATGAAAGTGAGCGTTGCTCAGTTGTATCCAATTCTTTGCGACCCCATGGAATTCTCCAGGCCAGAATACTGGAGTGGGTCACCTTTCCCTTCTTCAGGGGATCTTTCCAACCTAGGGATCAAACCCAGGTCTCCCGCATTGTAGGAGGATTCTTTACCAGCTGAGCCACAAGGGAAGCCCAAGAATACTGGAGTGGGTAGCCTATCCCTTCTCCAGCGGATCTTCCTGACCCAGGAATCAAACTGAGGTCTCCTGCATTGCAGGTGGATTCTTTACCAACTGAGCTATCAGGGAAGTCCAACCTAGTAAGGTTGAAAGGGGCTTATTATGAATAATAAAAGACACTCCTCTTGCCCCTACCACTCAAGAAATCACCAGGGTTTTAGAAACTCTTGTATCAAGGAAACAGAAATGAAGACCAAATATAAATGTACTACTTTTTATGTCACAATATCATATCTTCTGCTTATTTGCTGAGTACGGCCTTTGCCATCTTTTAAAAGTGAAGAGTTCCCAGTGAACATTTAACATTTTTCATTGTTCTGCACTCCTTTGTTAAGGTTAGGGATCCATGAGAACTAGCTTAAAAACCATGGACCATCACCCTATTCAAAAGTGCACTATGTACATGTATACACACACACGACACACACAAGTACGATTCTGCCTGCAATCTGAGGGGTTCATGGACAGCTGAAACTTGTAGTCTCCAGGTTAAGAATCCCTGTTCCCGTGTGTCCAGAAGACAAGTGCCGTCTGAAGGCCAGAAAACTGAGGAAAATCCTATCATTAAATAATTCTAAGGAAAAGGGAATTAATTTCAATGAGGGATTTTTATGGATTTTTTGAAAGGCTGATGGAAATTTCATTATGGAGGTACGAGTGGATCAAGTCATCGGTCACTAGTGATTAACTTCACCTCCAGCTCCTCTCCTTTCCCTCACGCTCACATCAGTGTCTTCAGTTGTGTCCAGCTCTCTGGGACCCCATGGACTGCAGCTCTGTCCAGGCCCCTCTGTCCATGGGCTTCTCTATGCAAGAATACTGGAGGGAGTTGCCATGCCCTCCTCCAGGGAATCTTCCCAAGCCAGTGATCAAACCTGCATCTCCTGCATTGCAGGTGAATTCTTTACCACTGAGCCACCAGGGAAGCCCCCCTCTTCTCCTGAGTGGGACTGAAAATTCCAACCTTCTAATTATGTTTACATTGCTCAAAAGACCAACTCGTATCCCGAAACTATATAGGAGTACTCATTAACATGCAAAAAAAAGACACTCTTCTTCACTTTCTTCAGCCCCTCTACAAAGTCTGGTTTAGTCTAACCACGAACAGCTTCATTTCTGTTCTTTTCTCCATTCTTCTCTTTACTACTATTTCAGCCCTGGCATGGTTCACTTGCTGGACTAAAGAAACAGTCTCCTAACTGGTCTTTCTTGTTCAAAATCCATTGGTGATCTTTCAAAAAATATACTTGCTTCAGTTCAGTCAGTCAGTTCAGTCACTCAGTCATGTCTGAGTCTTTGCGATCCCATGAATCACAGCACACCAGGCCTCCCTGTCCATCACCAACTCCGGAGATTACTCAAACTCATGTCCATTGAGCCAGTGATGCCATCCAGCCATCTCATCCTCTGTCGTCCCCTTCTCCTCCTGCCCTCAATCCCTCCCAGCATCAGGGTCTTTTCCAATGAGGTAACTCTTCACATAAGGTGGCCAAAGTATTGGAGTTTCAGCTTCAGCATCAGTCCTTCCAATCAACACCCAGGACTGATCTCCTTTAGGATGGACTGGCTGGATCTCCTTGCAGTCCAAGGGACTCTCATGAGTCTTCTCCAACACCACAGTTCAAAAGCACCAATTTACTCAGAACCCTCTAAAACACCTTTAAAGACCTCATTCTTTCCTGGACGTGGCCCTTTCCTCCTCCCTAAGTGTGTGTTCACCCGCCTCTTGCACCCACGTGCTTTAAGCACCGTGAAATTTCTTCTAACCACTTTCTGAACAAAGCAGGCTGCTGCTCAGATCTTAGCTTGAAGTGCTCTGCCTGCTTGTGTGTAACGTCCTGTATCATCTCACCTGTCTTGCTAACATCAACTCATCTTTTAAGGCTCAGACCCGGGGTAAAGAGTTCCCTGACCAGCCCCAGTTTTCCTTCTGATAGAAATGGACACCTTTTATTCATCTCTTATCACTCTGCTACAGACTCCTTTTACAGCACCTAAGACAAAATTCTGTAGAAATAAAAATTTGTCTTATTAAATACTATACTTTCAGTAGGCACACAATACCTGAAAGTTAACTGGGGTTCAATAAAAGCATTTTGAACAAATGAACAAGTTTGCTAAACAATATAACAGTTATAACAACAGAAGAGCAACAGAAATAGTAGTTTATAAGGGTATCTCTGTGCCAGGTAGTTTGCTAAATGCTTAGAAAACACACATAAACACACACACACACAAAACCACAAACAAACCAAAAACAACAAAAAAGGGCAAGCAGTGACTTAAATTATATGCGTGGAAAAATGCACTACAGTGTGTGACAAGTACTTAAATTTAATTCAGGATTTTGCTTCCAACAATGGTAGCAGGAAACATTTTCTGGTAAAAACTGGTTACTGTTCACTATAATGTTAACTGGTCTCTTCCCTGATGAGAGACTGAGTTTCTCGAATTTGACATGATAGATAACCACAGATGCTTTTTAGAGCTGAATTTTAACACTGTGGCACATTTTGCACCTCCCTGTTGAATTCAACTGACCCTTTCACACTGCTCCTGGGATATCTGCCTTTGGGTTAAAAACAGCTCCCTTATGAGTTTAGGAAGATGGGCAAAGGGCCCCCAAGTAGACTTACTTGTATCTAGTCAGCAAAGACAGAAATGTGTTGGAGGCACTCAGCAACAACTTACCAGCTACAAACTCTGTTCCGGCAAGTTCCGCAGTGGCAAGGAAGTCATCCAGGGAACTCTGTTCAGTCACGGACTGAAGATTAAGTCGACCCCAATCATAGCCATCGTTGAGTTCACTTGTGTGCAGCTATGAGTAAAACATAGGAGGGTAAGATAGCTGCTTTCTTCTGCTCCTTACATCCCAATAAATGTTATGTTCCCAAAGAACGTTCTATGGCCTTGAGGGTGATGTCAGCTCTTTTAGTCAACAGTAGTAACACTTAACATTTAAATGAGCACTTTCTTACCTCATGATAGTTATTTTCCATTTACTTTCTTAATTTTCAAAATCTTTTGAAATAAACTTCAGATCTCTATCAGGATTAAACTGGATAGAATAAATTGCCTATAGTCATAAGCTAATAAGTGGCAGAGGTATTTGAATCTAAACCCATATACCATATACTCTGGTTCTGGCAGCCACTGTTGGTCAACTTTTTTAGACAGACACGCACAGTAAGAAATACATTTCACACAGTGACTCAAATGCTGTGAGATACTGTGAGATGCTGTGTATCATTCGATATAGTAAAGTGAAAACAGAAGAATCCTGAAAGTTATCTTTATTACATTCCACACAACGTGGTTTTTTCTTGAGTTTTATTCTGTGGGATGAAAAGCTTGGCTAGTTGCCACTTACTGAACTGATTCCAGACACACCTCAGTTTTATACGATAAACACCATCCTAAGCTACATGCTCTGTACAGGTACAAACAAATGAAAATAATTGAAGGTTAAAAGGCTAGGTGGTTTGCCCAAAGGCCACAGAATCAGCAAAAATCAGGGTAAGGATTAGAATCTAGTTCTTTACTGAGAACTTGTGAATTTTCAAACACTTCGAGGAATGAATGTCAAAATGACAATTACAAATCAATCAAACCACTTCATAGGTTCTTCAAGGATCCTAAAACTATGACCGTTTCCAGGCCCAGGAAGCTACTAGGCCCGCCAAACTTTGGAGAAATGCTGTCCAGCTCTGAGTAATACCACTAGGGGATAAAAAAAAGTGAAGCACGAATCTGAGTTATTTTGTACTTCCGCTACCAGCCAAGTATCAATTCTTTAGACAAACGAATACAACACCAAGTCGTTTTTGTGTCATTCCTGTGCAGAAACTTCCAAATGCTTCCACGGCCTACAGGATAAATATAAAACTTTGGCCCTGGTTTTCAAGATCTCACTCCGATCTCATCACATTAGCCTCCACCTCTGGGCCCTGTGTCTTGCTAGGAGGGCATGTTTCTCGGCCTGGTCGATTCTAACGGTCTTGAGCATTTGCGCATTTCAGTATCCGAGAAGGGATGGGGGTGGGCCTAGAACGGATCCCCGCCGTTACCGGGGGGCGACTGTATTCATCCCTAGAAACCCTATTTTGGCATCATTTCCTTTGGAATATTTCCCTGAGAACCCTGACCGTAAATTTCGCTGCGTTCAGACTCACAACTAGGCAGAAAGACTGAGAAAGACAATGTTTTTACCCAGGAGTCCGTGTGGCGGTGGCTACGGCTCCGTTGAACTTGCTGGCGGATAAGAGTCCGGCCAAGTGTCCCACCCTCTGGTGCTCTCCTCCGACCCATGCTTGTCCAGTAGACCGACGAAAAGCAGCAAGAGTCACGCCAGTTTTCTGGGAGTTCAGGAGCGCGATCTCCGGAAGTGACGTAGGGGCGAGCCCAAGTGGATAAGGCCCGAAGTCGCAGGGAAACAGAATAATTTGCCTCAAATCGCCACTTATATATCTCAAATTTGCCACTACGATAGAAAGTAAATGCAAATATATATTCCTCATAATATCTCAAAGTTGGGTAAAGCGATTCGATTAAACGAATAGTACCTTCTAAATTTGTGCATCGATTTTTAGTGTTCGGGGTACAACTAGGAGACTCGGAAAAAAGTGGCCGGACATATTTGCGGTGGGAGCCACGCCTCCGGTTAATTTCGTCAGGAGGAGGCGGAGACTTGGGTGAAGGGTGTTCCTGCTGCGCTAGGTGGCGTTGCTTCCTGGCGCTAATTTTCGGCCTAGTGTAGGGTGTGGCTTCACCGCGGTCACGCCTGGCAACTAAACAGCTTTGTGTTTACTTGGTCTTCCAAAGCTGTGAATTGGTGAGAAGAGTTCCTGCGTGGATGGCATTTTGGAATGGAAAGAGCTTGACAAGGTTGCAAGGAAAGCCAAAGGAATCTGACTTAAATGTTGTTGTTTTCAAAGAGCTTTTTAAAAAGCGTTTAAAACTTCCACCTAGAATTGTATTTAAATTTTCTTATAAATTAAAATAAAGTGAAAAAAATTTAAAAATAAAATAAAGTGAAAGCAGTGACCCCCGCTCCACTCTTTGCGGCCTGACTTTTGCTCCTCACTTTAGAGAAGTCGGATTAGAGTTATGTGGGTGTTGGGGATTTTAACTCCATTCTCATTAATCAGGAGAACCACCTCATTGTTGTGATGCTCTGAGAGCAAGCAGCTTGCCCAAATCATAGCTGAAATATATTCGGTCAGGCATCAAACCCAAGTCTCCTCAATATTTTATCCATTCCTGGGGCAGATATTGAGGGGAGAATGAGGGTTGTTATTGTGTATTTTAGAACCCAGTTCTTACCCAATTTTGATGTGCACGTGAACCCTCTAGGAATCTTGCTAACGTGCTGATTCTGATTGATAAGGTCTAGGGTCTGGCAGCACTGGGTTCTTCCAGGAGATGATGATGATGTTGGTCTGGGCCACAGGCCACTCTGAAGGGCAAGAGAAGTCCATTTCCTGCTGGTGCAGATGAAGACCCTGAAGAGCACTGGCTAGAAGTCAGTCATAGCAAGCCTGGGTCAGGAAGAGCTGGAACCATATCCCGCACCCATCTCTGCATTCCCTGCTAAGCCCTGCTGTGGGCTATATCTCACTGCTGACTCTAACTGAATTGGAGTGCACTTTGGGAAACACCCAAAGGATTGCTGACAAACCATGTAGTAGTCGGCAGGGCTTTGGGAAGGTGGTGCTCACAGATCAGTGAAGGAAAACATTAGAACGTGGTTTCTCCCATCTCTCAACTTAGAGACAGCATATCTTCAAAAAACTTGAGGAATTTCCGTGGCAGTCTACTGACTAAGACTCCACCCTTCCACTGCAGGGGGCATGGGTTGGATCCCTGGTCAGGAACTAAGATCGTACATGCATTGAAGCATGACCACAATAACATACAATATAATTGGATTACTAAAACAAACGGACAAACAAAAAAACACACCAAAAACCTGAACATCATCTCCAGAACTAAAATGGAAGAGACAGTTTCTGGCATTCTCTTAGAGCTAAGTGGATAAAGAAAGAAAGAAAGAAAATGAAGTTGCTCAGTCATGTCTGATTCTTTGTGACCCCATGGACTGTAGCCTACCAGGATCCTCCGTCCATGGATTTTCCAGGCAAGAGTAGTGTAGTGGGCTGGCACTTCCTTCTCCAGGGGATCTTCCTGACCCAGGGATCAAACCTGGATCTGCTGCGTTTCAGGCAGGCGCTTTACCCTCTGAACCACCAGGGCTCAGTGGACAAAACTAACTCATAAAGCAAGATTCAGTGAACTTTCTATTCTAGTGACAATAATAATGAGAGGATGTAAACAAACCTGCCACCTAGAGCTCAGTTAGAAACTTGGGACTTCACCTTCATTTCCTTTTCCAGATTTTGTCACCTTCAGCGATTTAAGGAAAACAAACACTTTTGGTTTCTATTGTCATTCTTCTCCTGGGCTTCAAAAAATCTGGATCAAATAAAGTGATAATTTAATCAAGATAGATAGGGCATCAAAAAGACATTGACATCATAAAATGTCAACAACTACTCTTAGCTGACAAATATGTAAGGCATAAAAAAAATCTGCTCCCCCCTGAGATACTCCTCAAATCTACCACTGACAAAGAACTAAATCTCAGCTTTCTTATCTGGTTAATGAGGATAATAATAATTCCTGTCCTGCAGAGGTAGTAAATGAGATAATGCTGCAAGATCATTGCCTAGTGTTTTGTGTTCATTTTCACAACTGAACAATTTTTTCCCCAACAACTGGACAATGCTGGTGAGATTCCAGATGTATAATTGGTTCATACTGAAGGATTATGAGGCTAGTTCAGTGAGAAGGCAAGGAGGAAGGGGAATTGAGGATGCTGATGAGACACGATTGTGGGATCTAGATTCAGAGGAACAAAGTGAAATGGGGCACGGGGAGTGATGATGGTGATGGTGAATGGTGGAGGTGTTGTTGCTGCTCCTGAGTGAGGAAGTTTCAAAGATGAATCAGCCCAGTCCCTACCCTCTAACTACAAAATCCATTCCACCCACACACTTCAGGGAACAACACAACCCAGCCAAACTCTCCTCACTTTGTCATGACAGTGGAAATGTTTGTGTCTGGAAGACTAGTCAGATCTTCCTAATACCCCATATAGCTGAGACCTATTGAGGTCAAGATTCCCTAAATAGCTGACTCTTGGAGAACATTGCATTGATTTGGAAATTGGGAGCCTCCTATTCAGTTTCCAAATAGCAATATGGGGTGTTCCTCATTCTTGATTTACTGTGATTCAACAAATGCAATTCCAAGTCCCCCAAACCCACATGTAGGAATAAACCTTGGAGTAGCTTTCTGTGCTCCAACTTCACACTCTTGTGCCTCTGGGCTCCACCTCTCTCTGGGGATGGAGAGGGGTGAGTGGGTGGGTTTCTGTTTTGGTTTTGTTTTCACCCCTTGTCCAACAATGTGTCAGTGGCAGAAAAATTGTCCCAAGGCAAGCTTGTAACCCTGCCCTCCCTCTTTCCCATTCTCTACACCAACTTCTTCCACAAGGACATTAAAGCAGTTTGCATAAGGCTGAGAGTTGTGAAAATAGAAGTCTGGCACTCTCCACAGAGTCACTGAATCAGTAGGAAACTCCCTTTGATTATCTACAATTCTCAGTTTATCCCTGTCGAAAATGGGTGGATTCCCACACATAAGCAAGTTTCAATAGTTCAACAGTGACTATAAATGATAAATTTGAGTCAGTTCAAACATTGCTTTCCTGCTTGTGCAAGTCACTGTGTGTTCAATGAACATATAAAAGACCTCTCATTTTGCTGGGTAGGCTACAAGATCCTATGTGTATTGTATTTGAACCCATGAATTTTTCCCAATTCTTGGAGTTATATCTGGAATTTCTGGGGTATTTTATTCACAGATGACTCTGCAAATTATTTTTTTCCCTCACAACAGCAAGTAAGAAAGGGCACTGTCAGTTTTCTGAACTTTTGGCAGTAGAAATTGAGAGCCAGTAAAGTTCAGTGAAGTAATACAAATAAAGAAGGCTCCTAGTAGAATGAATAATCAGCAACTCTAAAATCTTCAGATGGAAAGTGCCAGGTTTCTTTCATTTGTTCATTCATTCATTCATTACTAGTCTCTGGGGTTCAGCAATGGACAAACTCCCTGCCCCCATGAGCTTATATTTTAGTGGTCATCAGTCCAACAGAGGGACTCATCCAAGGTTAAACAGCTCAAGTCAGTGGTGGAGTGATGAACTATACCACCAGTAAGACCCTAATCCACTGGGAAGGCCTTCTGACCACTGGGATGTCACTATTTGTCTCTAACTGTGGTCCCTCCGCTAAATCATTTTAATAGATACATTGGTAATATTAGCAGGTATGCTTGGATGGCAAGGAATTGAGAAAAAGTTGGAGGAAGTGTGAATAGAGTCAGGAGAAAGTATATAGGGCTGTTTCTGTTTATCTGAAGGACTGTCATAGGGCCAGAAGAGGATTGTTCTGGTAAGGCAAGTGGAACTAGAACAAACAGGGAGAAACCACAGAATTGCTTCTTACAATTGGAGTGGTTCAAAGATGGAATGACAGCTTTGAAAGGGAGTGAGCTCTCTGTTGCTGGGGGTGTTTAAGCAAAGGCTAAATAATCAAGCATAAGGATGTTCTCAAGTAGGCTCATGCTTAAAAGTGGGTGTTGGAACAGATAATCACTAAGGTGCTCAATTAGGTAGCATTCTTACCTAATAGACTCCTTGCCCCTCCTGGTTATGCCACCTTTTGTTTCACTCCAGTATCTGAAATAATAGTGGCACAATGATGATCTCAGAGAAGGTGCCTAGGCTGGCAATATCAGCATGGTACCTTCACTATACAACCCAGGAGGAAGAGTACATCCTGCCCTCTTTGTCATGTAAAGGTCAAGGGCATCATGAACCAACGATCTAGCAAATGTGGTCATTATTATTTACAAATACTACTAGTACTTGTAGTACTGATAGGAAGGACTGATGATGAAGCTGAAACTCCAATATTCTGGCCACCTGATGCAAACAGCTGACTCATTAGAAAAGACCCTGATGCTGGGAAAGATTGAAGGCAGGAGGAGAAGGGGATAACAGAGGGGAGATGGTTGGATGGTATCACCAACTCAATGGACATGAGTTTGAGCAAGCTCTGGGAGCTGGTGATAGGGAGACCTGGCATACTGCTGTCCATAGGATTGCAAAGAGTCAGACATGACTGAGTGACTGAACTGAACTTACTAGCACAAATGAAAATGTGAAGATTGAAGGCTCCAGTTTG